GTCTCTCTCCTTCTCACTGTCTTTGCCTTTCATCACTCTCAGCATAACTCTCTGGCACACACACACGCACGCACACGCACGTCGGGTAGGGCCGGGTGGGAGGCCTTGGCCCAGCAACAGTCAGCTGGTCTCAGTCCCAACAAGGAAACAATTAATCATGTGTGAGCGGCTGTCTGAGTGTCTGCTCTCTGGACAACAACAACACTCAAGCCTTTATCTCCCCTCGAGGCAGGACAGCCAGCCAGCACACCACGCAGGCATGTTCCCCCTCGTTCCTCACACACTCACAGATGTGCGACAACCAGAACCAAAGTGCACGATTCCAAAATGCGCTCAAATGTACAGAAATGCGTATGTGGAAAAAGATACGAGACAAAAACACTTAAACGCAGAGACACTCTTAACAGTAGATGGGAACGATATTTGGCGATTAACACACACACACACACACACAGGTGCTGTTTTGCCATCCTAATCAGATGGATGTCAGCACTTCCTAATGGCCATGATGACATAAACAGGAGCTACATGTTGCCGGCTCACCAAATCTCCGAGATCAAAGGCAGACTAAAACAACTCAACTTTCTTTTGTGATTTATTTGAGAGCGATGCCTTTTACCACGTTTGCCTTTGATATTTCAAACTCCTGTTCGTTGTTTATTATATAAAAACAGAGTGGAACCATCGGGGTGTTTTTCTTGCACTCCTCCGGGATGATGGAGCAAAGTAGAGTTGACAGTCATTTCATTTCAGGAAATTTACTCCTTTTTCATTTAACTCTTGCTCTTCCAACATGGAAGGCAGTTTTGGAGTGACGTAAAGCAGACAACACTTAATCAAGCAAAATCACAAATTTGTCTTTCATTTCACATTGCCGCATTGACACGGGGTTGTTTGTTATTGTGGGTGTGTGCGTGCACTTGTGTTGGTGAGTGCGTCCGAACATCGTGTTAGTTTTCAAAGTGGGTATTTTGGATGTAATTGCATGGTCATCTGTATACGTGTTAGTGTCCCACCTGGTGGAAAAAAAAGGCCTTAAACCTCAAGTGGAGTAAACAAAGAGGCCCGTGTGTGTTCCAGCATGGGGCATCTGGAGGGCATCAGGTGAGGCTGGCGGATTGGTAGTGACATAGGTTACCCCTGAGGTCCCTGGTGAGAAACACTTCGCCTTAGTCTGCACTGGAAAAGGAGCTTTGATGCACCAATGCGTAAAACAAGGCATCTGCATTGAAAGGTTTTCACGTGGCTCGTTTTGTTTTGTTACGCCATCCTCCTCTGGCTAAAGAGAAGGTTCCACTCGAAAGGTGGGCCGCTAATAACGATAGTTCGCAAACAAAAAATAAGTGAAAATCTTAATGATGTCATACTAATCAAACATAGTTGTTTTAATGTAATAGTCGTTTCCTGTAGCTGCTTAGCTCAGCTTGGCATGAAGTCAAATAACACAATTTACCTTTTGACCCGTCTAGAGGTCACTTATTAACATGTTTTATTACAAAAACAAACAAACAGCCATACATTTAAGGGAAAACAACATGTTGTATGCTAAGCTAACTGTCTGCTGGCTAAAACATTATACCTTACAGAAATGAGAGTGGTATCGATCTTCACATGCAACTCTCTGCTAGAAAGTCTATTCCTGACGCAGGTGGTGTTCTATAGATAGCAGTGACAGCTGAGCGACTTGGATTAAGTGTGATGTTCGGGTGAACACCTAACCCACATCTATACAAGAAATCCTTCAAAGGCATTTAATCACACTATTCATGTTACATTCTAAAACTTCCTGCACCAACTTGAACTTCAATTAGGTAATTTAGACGAATGCAACCATTCTCCCGCTCCCTCCTTCTCTCTCGGTCCAGGTGGCAGCTTGACAGGAAGAGAAACAGGAAAGGACTTAAAGATTTGCTGCTGCTCTCATTCTCCTTCAAAGACAAATGCCCCTCTGATCATTTCCCATAGTGCTCCTTGCACGGAGGCCTCTGTGATCAGTGGTTATGAGAAAGCACAGGAATCACGGGACAGATAACTGCCTCAACTCTGGGAAGAAGAAGGGGGGCGATGGGGGGGTAAGCCTCCTCTTTCTCTGCCTCTGTGACCCCCCCCCCGCCCCCCCCAACCCACCCCTCATTCCATCAGTCTGGTTGCTGCATGTGCGGGAAGCATCTGGGTTCATTTATCCCCAACCCGGCCGAGCTGGAAGACCCCTGTGCCCTCTCGGGTTGCAGCCGGGGTCTGAGCACGCTTCGGTGTAGGACCTCGCTGTTGTGGAAGAGAAGAGCTCGAGTGTGCCCGCTAACCCGTCTGGACCATCTCAAAGCCACCGCGCCCCTCCCTCCCTCCCCCCCAACCCCTCCCTCCGGTGCTTTGCCAGGCCCACGGCCCATCGCAGATGCCCGGGAGCATGTTTAGTGTCGCGCTTCATCTGAACCGAAAGATGCTAAACAGGTCATCATCCGGAAGCTTCACAGAAGACAGCCTACCTCCAGGTCTAGGATGGCAGATGGAAAGGAGGAGAACGTCTGCAGAGGGAGCGAAGCCGGTACTTCAAATAAAAGTGTGTGTGGGGGGGGGGGTGCTGGTATTAACTTTAACTCCCTCGCACGTCCGCGAATGCACACGTCGACATTTGCATAATGAGACAAGCCGGATATGCGCTTTATCCCGCAGTGCGTGCAACACACTCCCATGTCTCACGGCGGCAGGTGAACCTCGGGCCTACTGTTTGGTATAATCCGCAGTCCACTCCGGGCCAAACGTCAGTCCAGGTTATCCGGCTGCGCGGCTGAATGGAAGCAGAGGGAGTCTGGCTGGTTACTTAAATTCATTGAGAAGTTATTCAAACACCCAGTTATTATGGTGTAAACAAAAGTGGCTTGTCACACGCTATTACAGATATGGTGTTTACAAGAATGCCACTTTAACGCAGTGCACGTTATGTATAATGATTAAGGATAGTGTTTGACAGCCAACTGATTGGAGGAATGAAAGTAGATTACAGAACAGGCAGGGTTTTGTTGCTATACAGGCAGCAGAGACGATGTGGCAGGACGCTTTTATTTTGCTAATGGCTTTTATGTATTGGCGCAAATAATGTTTTTATGATAAAGAAGAAAAAAGAAGAAGAATCTTCTTGTACCTCATGCAAAACAGATTTGTTTGAGTTCTCCTCAGGTATCTGGGCCGTCCGTCTGTGTGGTTTTGAGCACACTTCTAACGTATATTAAATTACAAATTTGGCAAGTGTGAAGTTTGCAGCGGTTTGCCGCTGCACAAGGGGCGTTTTCATCTGTGAACACAACTGAAACGACTCTGGCATCAATCTGTGCTCTTAGCTTGAACGTTCCTATATGGTTACAGGAACGTGGTTGAAGGTTTGTAGCCACTGCGTCCATCAACAGCCATTTGTCCTGCTGGTGTGTCCTTGAGCAAGACATTCTGCTTCTCAAAATAAGAATAAGAACATTAGCTGAAATTGTGCAGAATAAAAAAGTAATTTTGGAGCCAAGCCCTACTTTTTCCTTTTCTTTTGTTTGACTTATGAGATTTCAATCAAAGTCACTCACTAGGGGGGAGGGGGGGGGGTCACACTTTTGTCTCTACGGATCTTTGGCCATCCAGCTAATTAAAAACATGTCCTGCCTTTTTGCCTGAAGGTATATTAGACACGACTCGGCAAACTGGCATTTATCTAAACAACCTTTCTGTTTTCAACATGATTGTTTTCAGAAAAAAAACTCTGCCTTTAAAAATGTTAAGCAAACTCATTGGTTAGTAAGCAGGCGTACTGTCATTACAATCATTCTTCTTCTTGTTTTAATTGTTGAAATTCTGCACTTTTATGGTAGGATGAGTGCAACAATAAAATACCAATGAAATCGCTAATGACTCATGCGTTCTGTCAACCTGTTTTGACAGTAAGTGACAGACAATATATTCCTCAGTTGTTTTCCAGACTTTAATTCTTTGGCTTTGTATCTCCATCACACACGTCTAAAAATGACATCAGGAATAGTGAGGTTAAATGTGAAACTCTATTCTTAAACTGTGTGAAACAGCACAAAGCACGTTGCTACAATCTGCCTCTTTCACGTCAGGTCAAAAATGTCTTAAATTTTAATTTCATTACCATGTCATGAATACGTCTTGGGGAATCCATTAGGCATTTTCCTGACTAAAACTACAATAGGAATTCACATTCAACCAAAAAAAAAAAAGGTTAGGGAATGAGAATAAAGCCCAATCAAGAACATTACTGTAAAGCTGTTATAGCGCTTTCAGTCCACTTAAGAGGAGGCAGCGAAAAAAAGAGAGGGATGTGAGAGACTGACAGACGATAGCAATAAAAGTAAGAACAAACCGGCCATTTTACTGCGGTGGGCCATTTGAGAAGGGATTATTAACTTGTCAGCATTTCAAACGGAGACACAACTTTTTCGCCACTAAAACACGTCCCTATGTCTCTGTTACTTTTATTAGAAAGTCTTTAAACCTTTTGACCCCAGAGGGCCTCCGTTATTGGCTGTTAATAGGGACTCGCTGGTCAGCGGGGAGACCCTAAGTGCCCTATTAATCATTTGTTTAGAGCTCTGGTCTATTTTGGAAGCTCTGTGTTTAGTGTGGTTTAAAAATAGGAGGACGCCAATGGAGACAGCCGTCCGCCACTCATCGCTCAAGCTGTCAGGACGCGTGGGCCCTTGGGGACGAGGGCAGGAGACCCCTCAGGCCGATGAGGTTCAAAGGTCGCAAGGTTTATCATTATTACTTACTCTGTGGCAGCTGACAGAAATGTTGTTGTTTTGATTGCTTAAAATAGATGCTGAAAGGCAACAAAAAGAATGATCAAATTAAAGGTACGTTTTAAAGATGTATTTTACATAAACAGACAAGAGTTGCATAGGAGAGCTGTTAGACGCTGTAGTTTATATGACTCAAGAGCATTTGCATTCATGAATAATACACAAGCAAAGCAAATGCTGCTCCGTGCTTCCTACAAAATGCCACAAGTAAGTGAGTTGTTTGCTGGCAGATTGACAGCAACGGGAAATAAAATGTCACAGGATCAAATCATTAATCTTGTCAAATATTGTCATACGATCGGGGAAAATACAGGTGTGGAGATTGCAACGGCTGATAAAACATTACTTACAGCCATTTTTCCAATAAGCGATGGACTCAGTGCTGTCAATATTTGTAGGGGATGCGAGGTATGCCCTAGTGAAGGCCATTTTGCGAGGAGCAGAGAGCCTGCTGGGAAAAATACAGTGGTTCATGCTGGGTCTCTGGGAAGCTGAAAAGCCACCAGCAAAAAGCTATGAATTATTTTGAGCGCAAAATACATTTTCTTTGAAGACTGTCGGGCCATTAGAGCCCTTTTGCTCCCTTTTAAATTGTTTTTATGCTGTGAGTAATGTTAACCTTTGCTTTTGTAGTCATGAAATCCTCTCTGCACCTTTTCCCCTCCTGGCGCAAAGCACAGATGGGCTGGAAAGGCTGGAAATAAAGTATAGGAACCATTTACGGCATCGAAAGAATCAGTATGAGGAAGGAACTGAGGCTTTTATTCTGACGTCTATTAGACACCCCTTTTCCTTAGTAGACTACAGTAGGGACTCAATATACATGCGAATAAACCCACGCAGAATAACCATGTTTAATATATATATACATATATAAAAAGAAAGCTTGAAGTGAACAAGGCAGGAAAAGCTTTTGGGGCCAAAAATCCAAAATTGTAGGAGGCGTGATTAATGCCATAACACACTCCCATTGTCACTTTGCATGCTGGATTTTACTGGTACGTTTGGCTCAAACAAGGGTTGAAACCCATAAAAAATATTATAGGAAACCATCAAAAGAAAACTTGTTTGGTAGATTTCTTGAAGCTAAGTCATTCTAGCTTCACTAGTTTTAATATGTTTTCTGTTACCTTATTATGCCTATTACGAAAATAGATACTATATCCCTTTTGACTGGGTCCTGATGACGTGAATGAAGTGGTGACAACAGTGAATCTTCGTGGCGACTCAGAGGGCCCGTCCATAATGGTCACACATTCAGGGGACACATAAGGATGACCTAAACACATTATTTTAAACTCAGGAGGATATATTATAAGTTAAATACAAGATGACACACTCTTTCTCTCAAAACACACAGACACGCAAACCATCAGTGGGTTTATCCGTGGATCTGATGTCTACAAGGCTCCGACCAGCTGACCTTTCAGGCATTACCTTACCTTTGCTTGGCAGCAAAGGTAAGGTGAGTTTTCCACTTGGGTTGGTTTGACATCATATGACAATGACGTTGTTCCTCTTATGTAGCCGGTTGAGTAGTTTTGATGCGTAGTTGGTTAAATCAGACTGACTGAAGTGTCATTAAGGCCCCCGTCTCCAGTTTACTGCTGTGTCTCTGCTAAAAAAAGCCAGTTGTAATCACAGGTAACCTTGGTTAGCATCAAGCTACATGCTGTCACTCTAGGGGCCTTTCTGCAGGCTTCTTTTTTTAGAAACAGGCTTTTTTTTTAGGTCGTGTCTTGTTTGTATCGAACCAGTATGTTCCACAAACTGCTTAAATTCATTCTCTCACACGTGATACTACCACAACTTCTAATCGGGATAATATTCGGTTGGGTGAGTGGCCAAGTTCAAATTATGTTCAGTTTGTCATTCTGGTTCTTTCCCTTTGATTGTGAAAAACAGGATACTTTTAAATCTTCAAACTCCTGAAAGTATTCAAATAAAACGAACCACAGTTGGAGAGCATTCCTCATGCCGGATGCAAAGTGGGACATTGTGCATGAAAGTTGTACTCACAGATGTTCACTTATTGTTTAGCAGGCAGCTCTGCCCAGGAGGGCCGACCCCACTGAGCTGAAAGCCATTTTTGAAAAGGTAGGATTTTATCTATGTATTTATTGTTTGCCTCTACAGGCTTTTCTCGTATCCATCGAGACATGTTGGATTCACCTTTTATGTCCAACTCTAAAGCCCAGCGGGCACCGCTGTGTCTGCATCTGCTTTCCTCCCGACAGTACGCCAGCGTCAGGAAGAATGGCGAGTCGCCAGAGGACTTTGTGGGCCGGTTCCTCCGTACACGGCCGGAGTGTTGGATCAGAAGAAAGATGGGTAGGTGATGACGTTATAAAGTTGGAACTCTGGTGTAGTTATGGAATAACTGATAGAAGTACGAAGATTTGTCACATAGGGCCATATATTCCTTTACAAAACCATGAAAATAGAGGATGACAGCTGCGCGTCTCATGAGGATTGTACTGCTCAATGGCAGAAGTTGCTAATCTGACTGTGGAATTGCTCTGTTGAGTCTCAGATTAAGACGCAAATCTCTCTCCTCTGATTAATATCAAGCCAACTGCTAAGTGGTAAGCTTATGAAAGACTCTTATCAAAGCGTGTGTTATTTGTCTTTGATCTTGTGCGACTACCTTTCTAGTGGTATTTTGCATTTTATAAACAAACCTATGACTGCATCCTTTGGTGTAAAAAAATAAAATAAAAGAAAAGATGTTCATTCTTGAATTATATCGCAAAGAGACATCAAACCACCAAAGGCCCCTTTCAGGTGTTTCCTTCTTTGTAGATACACCCCCAATTTCACACTTACTCCTCCCCCCATCCCCATCACCCCCTTTTTTTTACATTAATATGTATGTATTTAATGATACATAATGACGGGTAATAAAATGTTAGGGTAAGTCAAAAAAGATTTTTTTAAAACACATTGCCATGGTAACCATCCGGGCTTATACAAAGAGCAAAGTGCACATGGCAGTGTAGCTTTGTGTTATTACATCTGCTTTAAGGTGTGTTTGTGTGTGTGTTTGTGTGAGTGTGTGCGCGTGCATGCAGAAACCGGTGAGATGGAGTAGTGGGGGTTTAGGAATTGGAAAAAGAGAAACAAAGCACCCACCCCCCCCCCCCACACACACACACACACGTGCACATAAAAAACCCACACATGCACTGTAATTGCCCGTGCTATTCAGGAGCACTCCGTTGCATTGTGCGGCTTTGGAGCAGGATAAATGGTGGCCGTGGCATCGGGGTAAATCTATTAGGAACCCATGGCCCGGGCTTTGTATCTAAACCTCATTTTGGTTTTGTGGAGGGAAATGGAAATGATATGGGGGGGGGGGGCAAAACAGGAATAAAGTCTGTTTAGACCTCAGATTTCATTTGTTTTTTTGTTTTTTTTACAGTTGACTTTGTAAAAGCCTCGTGCTGCTTATATTGTGTGATGTATTTATTTATTTTTTCTCACCTGAACTTTGGTAGATGAATGGTTTAACAGGACAAAGAGTCTCTGTGATTATGTGGCAAACCTGTGTTTCATGAACACAAAACAAATGGAACTAAAACGTAGAGATGAGGCTCCGTTAGTGGTCGCTGGAGACGCCAATGCATTGTTTTTCAAACGCTCATCTGTGAAAACCTTATGAAAAGAACAGGGCGCGAAATAAAAAATACCTCTTTTAGCGACTGTATTCTCATCCATCTTGTCCTCATGCAAATACGCTTGTGAGCAATACGTTCCGCTTGTTACATGAACGCAGTGTATCTGAAGCTAGTGCGCCTGATGCTGTCTTTTTTTTTTTGTTGCCAGATAGGACTCCATTTCAACAAGATGAGTCAGGAGTAATAGATTTAGCAGGGGGTCAGACGGCAGCCAGCATGCTTGCCTACTTTTCTGTTGGAGTGGATCTGTGTGAGAGAAATTTGACTTAGATGCCAGTGTTTGTGTGTGTGTGTTTGTGTGTTTTTGTGTGGGGATGTAAACAGTGAAATGCTTTTGTCTGCCTCGCTGGGACTTTGTAAATCAGGAGATATAGTGACAGTCGTAACAATCTGTTATGTGGAAATCACTTTTCTCCCTCTTATTCTCGCCGCTCCCAGTGAGACAGAGAGACGGATAGATAGATAAATATATAGATAGATGAATATGAGAGAGGCTTCGGAGGGTGGAGATGTCTCAATTTCCAGAAATCCGATGTTTTTGTGTGTGTGTGCGCACCGACAGATTTCCCTCCTTCACCCGACTTATTTATGTCCTTTCTCTCCACTTCTGACTTTCTCCACATTCCACCGCCCTCATCCCGTTCTTTACCATAATTCACTCCATTTAAGGTGGGCTCCATCCGACTCCTTCCCTTTCTGCCTCGATATTCCTTCTTACCTCTGATGTTTTGTTAGATGCATCGGCTCAAGTGAGAAAACCCCCCCCAAAAAACACCAATTCAGTTTAAAATAAAATAAAAACTTTGTTAAGGGAGCGTGCTGGGAAAATGTCAGTGTGCCAGCTGCTGTGGGTGTTCTGGACTCTGAGAGGCCGAACAGACACTGGCAGCTCACCTCGGTGCGTTGTGTGTGTGTGTGTGTGTGTCTGTCTGTGTGCGAGCACGGCCGGGTGGGTGGAAGGCTGTCAGTAACAATGCCAGGATGCCAGGGACAGGGCTTTTTGAAGCCCCCGCAGGCCCCTCTCTCACTGCTATCAGCCAAGGGAAGCTGTCTTTCTATCAGCCGGGGCCCGACCAACACCGTGCATTTATGTTACTTGTACACAATGTTTCCAAGCCCGGGTTTTTCGCTTCAGAGGAGTGTATTTAGATGCCCGCTGAGAGGAGACAGAGATAAAAGCCGGGTGGCGAAGATGAAATAAAAATATAATAATAAAAAAAAAAAAAATGAAATATAGGGTGGAGTTTTTATACCAGACAGACGTAGCGAAGACAGTTTAAATTGCATTGTATTGGCATCCGAACAAAAACATCATTCAGCTGTCAACTGCGGCGGCACATGCTAGAATTAAGTCTTTGTTTATGTCTTGTGTGTTACATCTCTAGCTTGATACATGTCACGGATATGTCAGCGACTGTTTCTCCATTTCTAACCAAATCCGGGGCGGGGGGGGGGGGGGGGGGGAAAAAGGAGGTGGGACACGGGAGGGGAGGGCATGGTGCAGATTACAAGGAGTCTGGGCTCCTGAGGTCATGACGCCCACTGTGGAAAGCTGGGGAAGGCCGTTGGTTGACATCTGTAGGGGGGTTCTGTTTTTCATGGGCAAACCCCAGCCAACACATCGCTGCATTTGGTAAATATTTTAGACGGCCCTATGGCGCCGTACATGCACCGAGCTAAATCTCCTACCCATGCCCGCCATGTCAGGAGAAACATCTCCAAGGCCCGGGAATGTGTTTCTCTCTGATGGATCATGGAGATGCCCCCCTGGATCTTGTCTGGACTCTAAACCGTGGTCCAAATCCCCTTCGTGATCGGCAGCCCTCTCGGTTACACTAATATGCTGATTGTCCACGTCTGGGGAAACGCAGAGGGGAAGACCAGCTTGCATGTAAATTGATGCGTGTGGAAAAAAAAAATAGAAACTTGACTTTTCCCCTCCGTCGTGTCTGTGGACACTGGTCCTCTCTGAGTCCTCGTACTGCGTGTCTACTGTATCCGTCACAAAATAATGATCATTAGCGGAGGGTTTGATAAGCTCCCAGCAGCGTCAGCGCCGTCGGTATTAGCTTTTGTTTTAGCAGTAGATCGCGGACGGGTGCTTTGGTGCCAACTTCCACCCACTTGCCATCAGCAGGGCATCGCTCTTCAGCGCTACCTGCTCTGATAATAAAACATTTAGTCATGCCATTTAAAGCAGCAGCGGATTTAATTAGCATCTCGGGACAACTATGCTCACTGTTATGCTCTTAGTAACACACATCTACTATTTTAAGTAAAAGTATTCACACATAATACCAGTAATGATATGATATATGAGAGTTGACTGCTTTGGCCTGTGTCTTTGGAGGCTAAAAAGCCCAGAATCTAAACTTGCTTTTTAACCTTTATCCTCTCTGGTAATCATGCCGTTATTTTGATAAACAACCCTTTTTGTTAATGTACAGATCTGCTGATTGGGACAGAGATATTTTTCATCCATGCAGCATTTTTTTTCCGCATCCAAGCACCCGTGAGGATGCACACAGATTCTAAACAAACACATCTAAATTTCACCAGTATCATAATTAATTAGAAATGTAATCATGGCAGCCCCGTCCTTCTCCGCCCTCCCCCTTCCGTGGAAATTGAAACAGGTTTAATAGAAGGATGCGCTCATTAGCACTGACCCCTCCTGTAATTATCCGAGCCATTTGTGATATTCACAACGACCTCGTGGCAACAGTGAACCGGGGGCCTCAAATAGGGCCGGACTGCGGGGTCCAGTTCCCCACAGCAGGGCGCTCCCATGGGAGCTCCCAGTGGGTTCACACAATAGCGCTGTTTATGTTTATTCTTTCCTGTTAACGATGCATGTGGGCATTTGTGTTTATAATGGAGAGACAGGACTCTCTCTCACACACATACACACTTGGGAAGAGAGGCAGAGAAAACTGATTGGTTGCGTTTACTTTCGACTCGTAGCTTGTATCTCCGCGTTCCCCGTTATGAAATATTTCCACCGTGGCTGCTCAACCTGACATTTACTCCAAATCGCGCGTTTCACGTTTGTTTTACTTGTTTAAAATGCCACACTAAAATGTATAACTCCATATTGAATTGAAGTTGACTCTCTTTCTCTCAACCAGCTGCCAGCTCAGACTGGGAACACACACTGAGCCTTTTAAACTGTTTTATTTTCTTGCCGTCACACTTGATGAGCTTATGACATTACACGTGAAATAAACCACTACTGGATAAAAGGCCTCTTGGATTGCGAGTGGCACAGACTGATGGCTTGTCTCAGTCGGCCAGTTTGCCACCGTGTGGCACAAATTACAATGGAGCTTGTTGTATAATAAGCTGCTACATTACCTTTTTTTTAAATTTATTCAACCTTTTTTTTTTTTTTTTCAATTAAGTTCCTCTTTACTATGTTTTAAATGACTTAATGAACATCAAAGACTCTGTCTCACACGTGTTTCTGATTAAGTATTTATACTGACGCTTGGCACTTGAACTGACACACCACATAAATAAATGACAGCGCGTATCAAAGTCCTCACTATCTCCTTTCCTTGCTCCCTTCTCTCAGGTTGATCTGCTTCCAGGAGTTTGTCGCGTTCGAGTCGGTGCTTTGTGCCCCGGACTCCCTCTTCATGGCGGCCTTCCTTCTGTTTGATAAGGCAGGCAGTGGAAGGACCACCTTTGGTAAGTGAGCCTGCTCCTGATGTAGCGGGTCAGGTGCATTAATAATGTGGTCGTGTTACGTCCTACTGAACAATTAGCATCTCCATGGGAGCTGCTGTTATGTGGAATTATGTATCGTTGAACAGTCCAAACAACACAAGATCACTTGCGTTGAGACATATAATGCTCATTTTCAAATATTGCTTTTATGTTTGTTATTGTTCTCTCCTCCACTCCTCCGGGAGCATCACTTCTCCTTCATGCTTATGTTGGCTTTTTGCTTTTTCTTTATTGAATCACTCTTCACAAATCAAGAGAACTATTCCATTCTGAGTTCAAGTCTCAACACTGCTTTTGTTCCTTTTGCTTTTAGCATTAAACAAACACTCAGTCAGCCAAATCGTGACTGGAGCGTAGAGCGCGCTCCTCCTAAACGCACCTCTGAAAAAGTTTGTGTTCAAACTCCTCGTTTATTTACGTGTGGGTCTGACCTCCGCCCATCCGTTCCGTTTTAGTTGCGTCCACAAACATGAAAACGCTGGAAGCGGCACTTCATCTTGTCTGTTACGAAGACGAGGTTAGCTCCGGAGGTGTGGAGGGCGGGTGGCAACTAAAGGATGGAGATGAAGATGGAGGAGGGGGGTCAGGTCGCTCTATGTGCATGATTGGCACCATCACTCTGATGCCTTGACGCTCCGAGGTGAAAAGGGGGGGGGGCCGTTGCACTCGTTGCTTATTTCCCATTTGCCTAATTGATTTCAAACAACGCTCACGCCGGCCTTCTGTAGGTGTGCGAGGCGCCAGCGCATTAGGCCTGATTTGAAATGCGGCGCACACATCCACATCCACCAGCAGAGACGGGAGAGCAAGTGAATTTCATTGGAATTGTTTTTCCCGTCGACAGGGTGCAAGATCATCGCGGGTGATTATGTATGCACATATGTAAATGTTCACACCTAAAAGGATCAATTAGAGTGACGTTGTCTCGGTGGCAATTAAAAGGTCCGCTGTTTTCCCGCGTCTCCCAAAGGTTAATGAATGTACCGATGCCTGTGAGTTATGAGCCTCGCGCACAAGTGGAAAATTGCATGAAAAACATCATGCCTCACATCGTGGCACGAACAAACACGGACTGCAGTGTGTGCCCTTTAACCACCAAGTGAATAACGTGTGACTGAGATTATAGACTGGTTGCTTTGTTGGAATTTCTCAGATTAAAAGAGTCTCACCAAGGCACAATAATAAAGAGCTTTCCTTCATTGGCCATTAAAAACATTAATAGCTCGGGCTTATGGCGCATTAAAGGCTCGTTTGTTTTTACCGTGTATTAAATGTCTGTACTCTGATTTCTTTTCATTTCGTTTTCTATGAAGCTGTTTTTATTTGATAATAGTAATTTATGTTAAGTACAGGCGACACTGGGCTCTGAATTCTTAACACTCAACAAAAATAAATGCATAATTTGGTGGAATGTTGTTTGTAAAAAAAAAAAAAAAAAAAGCATCATAACATGGTATATGTCGGGCTAGAAAGACGAAAAAAAAGAAGTGAAAAGAACCAAAGAGGACGGAGTGTTGACAGGTCTATAAAAGCTGATAATATAAACGGCGGCCTCTGCAGCGGTCTCTCCTTTAAAGAGTTAAAGGCTGTATATTTATTGCCTCATTAAAGTGTAAAAAACAACACTGCAGTAGCTGTCCTACTCTGGAAGGTGAGGCCAAGCTGAAGTAAATATCACCTTTTTTCTTTCTCTTTTACCCCCCCCTCCCCTCCCTGTCTGTCTTTATGAGAAAAAAATTGTTTCTTTCCTGCTCTCCTTTCTGCACTCGTTGAGCACGGCTTGTTTGGTAATAAGAAACAGGTCGCTCTATTGGTTTGTTTTTGTTTCTTTAGTAAGGCTGTAATTTAGGACTCATGTTCAGTGTCTCTGCGCTGCGCTGCCTGCAGAGGCTTAGAGGCTTCAGGCAGAGGAACACGAGCGAGAAGAAAAGGCTTTTCCTTCTGAATGCAGAGCCTACACAGCTCTGACAACTTCTGCCATGTGTCATTCAAGACCGATTCGGAGTTTAGGAACTTAAGTCTCAATCAGAGCAGAATTGTGTTCGGGAGATTGACATTGACGTTTTGTCAGAAAGCGTCAATTTAGAGAAAAGAGAATAATGAATTGATTTGAATGGAGGTGAAGTTGGCGGTTTATGGTCATTGGCCTCAAACGTATCAACTCTGCTTTTATCTTACGTTGCGTATTTAATATGGTTGAATTAACTTTTTATTTACAAATGAATTTATAAGAAAAAAAAAATCCCATGATGTTTAATGTTTAACACATTTAAACACACGCTGTAGACAAATGATTCCCTTTCGTTGAAAAAAATAACCTTTTTTGTTTTTTTTCTGTCTCATCTGCAGAGGATGTGAAACATGTCTTCAGCCAGACCACCTTCCACCAGCACATCCCCTTCAACTGGGACTGTGAGTTCATACGGCTGCACTTTGGCACCCGGAGGGACAGGCAGCTCATCTACGCAGAGTTCACCCGCTTTCTCCTGGTAGGATTCATGTCACGGGCCCTTCTCCACCGATCTGCCGACATGAAATCACCCTTCTTTGCTTTTCCTTGTTGTTGAAGCTGTGGCCGTGTTTTTCCTCAGCCCGTCCGACTGACTAACTCTGTCTTAGTTCACCATCATCCGGTGACCGCCGGCGCTAGTCAATAAATCTGTATAAACCGAGTCATGTGGCTGCACACACTGCCTCAACCTCACATGTTGTTTACAGGCTGTTCCTGCAATCCTGGCATCCAATTGTATTTGACTTATCTGAGCTCGATCAGACGACACACACACACACACACACACACACACAGGTTTTCCCGATCCCTCTCAAACACAGCCCTCCATATTGACCAGATTAGTCATTAATGAAACACTGAGGTTATATCTTCGGGACATTTCTTGGCATTAGTTTTCCATTAGCTGACGTAGCATTACTCCCCTCCACCATCTCGGAGGCAGGTAGAGACGCACTTCCACCTCCATAAATACTACAGCCGGAATATTCCCGGTGTGTTTGTGGCGTGTGAGCCATTTTCCAATACGATGTCTAGACTTGAATCAGGCCTAAGCAGGCAGAGTTGCTGGTGGGGGTTTGAGCGAGGGCCTGAGCTGTGCCAGGTTTGCATCCACACTCACGATGTATCTGAATGAGCTTTTTATATTACACTTAACTTGGACCAGATGGCTTACACACAGCGGGCAGGAGCGCATGGATATTGAGACATTGTTATTTGTGCGCACGTTGTTGTGTGTGTGTGTGAACATGCAGCATGTGTGCCTGCACATTGCTGTGGTTTCGGTGCATGCAACGTTTGTCTTACGTATCTGCTTCCCTGTGTGTGTGTGTGTGTGTGTGTGTGTGTGTGTGTGTGTGTGTGTGAGAGCAGTGGAATGCTTCCTTGTTTACGCTGTGCTTTTATTTTGGCCGGTCTTTGGCCCGTGCCTGTGCACAGAGCCTGTGGCGTACTGTGCATTGACAGCGTGCCCGGTCGGCTCCCAGTCAGTCACTCAGTGGTTTGCAGCTTCTCACAGCAGCGAGCCAGCAGCCAGTCACGCTCATTTCTCGACATGAAATGCCCGTTTGATCATTGCTCGTTGTTTTTGATTCATGCTTCAATTAAAATGGCAGAGGAAAGCGAATTTCAATTTGTTGCAAGGATATTGAAATTAGTATTCATTTTAAGCTTGGGAAATATTGTCCTGCTTTTCATCTTTTATTACTTGCTTAACTCGTCCAATTATGTTCGTGAAAAAATGTTTTAGGATATTAAAAATAATTTGTTTTGAGAGGTGTAATAGTTCCTTGGGTTCTATTTAAAGTGTGTCACATGAATAAGACACGTTGATAGCACTGTGAGGGTGTATTACTTAAATCAATTACAGTGCTTAGTTGCAGGTACATTTTTAGATTTTTGGCAGTGCGCTCTTACAGTGTTATCACAAACTCTAGTGATTGATGACAGGGTACAACAACATTTCCTGAACTACAAAACCGCTTCACACATACTTGTGATTGTGCTACTTCCCAGTAGCGCCACTTCTGCTAACAGACAAAGCATTTGTAAATGTCAGTCGGGCAAGAAAAGTTATCAGACAGCTATTTAAACAACAGATTATTGCACACACACCATATTGTGAATATCTTACAGTATTTTTTATGATTCTCTACCACCCAGCTTCCCTCCACCCCCCCAGCCCCCCAAGAATGTTCCCATCCTTTATTTCCTCCCCTTCCGGCCGTACATGCATGTGTTTATTGTGTTTTTCTGCCATTGTAACCGCGCCACTGCCAGATGCTCACAAGATGGGATTATCAGGGAAAACGTTTGCGCCGCATATTTCTCACAAGGGCTCTCTCTGGCCAATTACTGTCTTGATGGAAGCCAGAGATTCTCACCAATTACATGCATTTTTCACGTCTCACGCGTGGACGCCGGCCAAGGCCCGGCTCGCGCTGTCGGCGCGGCGTTGTCTGGCAATGATATTACTGATGGCCAGAGAAGTGGCACATACTAGTAGCCCGTATTACGGATCCTGGCAAGCAAAGGTCTTGAAACACGAGGGCGGGTACCACACGAGGCACTTCTTTCCTAAGCACTCAAAGCGATGGCTTTTGTTTGTTTTTTTGGCATTGTTTAGATTTTAGAAGTCCCAATTATGTTTGACTCTAGAAATCAGCAGACAGCCCTTAACGTCACTAAAGAGGGCCGACTGGCGTTTGTGCTCCTTGTGTCGCTGATAAGAAGCTGTAACTGGAAAGGAGACCTGTAAGCCTGCTCATTTCTACTGTTTAGGTTTTGACGAGAGGGGGACGAATCCCAGCCACTGACGAACAAACAGAGGTGGCTTGTCATGTGTTTTTATTTTTAATCCAAGGACAATTAAAGCGACTGCAAATGCCTCGCATAAAGCCCCGGGCTTTATGTCCCCTGCCTCCGTCATTGCTCTCCCAAACAAAAAGCACGTCCCCCCCCCAAAAAACACACATGCAGTTGAAGCAAGTCAAGAATAAAGTGCTCCGTCCCCCCTGGGCCGCAGTTGTTTTGTTGCTCCGCGTGGTTGCCGTGTGGCTTTTCATAGTTTTAATGGTCCAGGGAGACGGCTTCAAATGATGTTTTTTCCACATGGACTAAAAACAAAACCGATAAATGCTCATTCCTCTTTTGACCCACTGACAACTGACCAGAGGAGAGAAGCCCACAGCAAAATGTCTCACTTAGTTTCACTCTGGGAGTGTTTGCATGCGTCGGCCTCTCTTCGCTTGCCTTCCACTCGCTTGTTCGCGCTGCGGAGCCCCTGCTGTGCTCATAGGTGATACTGACACATGGCTGCTACATTTGCTGTTTTCGCAAATCTGGCTCTTTTGTTGCGATGTCTCTCTTCTCACTCCCCTCCGGTCTGCACTCAGCTTTGTGTTAATGTCACTCTTCCCCAGTCGTTTCTCTTGTGTGCTGCAGATGCAGAGTTCGATCAGTTACGCTGTCAGTGGAATATCACTCAAATTCAACACAACAATAAGTCGAAGCCCCGCAGGGTGTTGTGTTGTACCAAGATTCAAGCAGTCCTCTCCAGCACTTTTCGTCCGGCGTGTAGCTTGAAAAGAAATGTCCATTCTCCTTGGCAAATTGAAAATTTAACGTATTGTTTTTAAACTATTTACTTCACGAATCTGCATCTGCGTTTGAAATACTTTCATTTTGTATGTGTGCAGCATATTCCTTTTTTTTGTAAAACTAATTTTTAATATTCAAGTCAAATAGCTTAAAAAAAAATCTTAAAAAAAAATCTAATTATTGTCTTCATTATCATCTAATCAACTGATTATTTTTTTATGAACTGTTTAATATCTTAAATAATAATAATTTTATAAAATACCAGAAATTTGTGAAAAATGCCCATTACAATGGCCATGCACGTTGGCGTATCCAAATTGCCTATTAGTCAGTGTACTATCACAGCAAGAAATGACAAGCAAAAAAGTTCCACATTTTCTGTCAATCCATCAATGAAATATTTGTTTCAGCTTTAAATATTTGTGTGAAATTGCAAAAGAGGATTCAGAATAGTGGTTAAAACTCTTGCATCGATGTTTCCCTTCAGTTAACACACTGATCTCAACTTTAAAGGAAGTACCCTTGAGTCTGGTAATTCATCACCATGTGTCACAAACCTCCTCAATAGGAATAGAAGAATAAAACCTCATCATCTTTTGTCCCGAAGGCCATGATACCCAGTCAGAGCGTCTCTTTGACTCTCTGTGGGTTGTTATTGTTCTGATGTCCCCGTCTTGTGTGTAAGACAGAGGAAGTGACGAGGCACCGGTTTGTTTACGGCCGCTCTGCAGACTTGTGGTTGCAGGTACCGATAATGGCCGCTAATTCCAAAGGCCCCTGCGGGACGCGTCCTCACCACAGCCTGCTCTTGTCCCCGCGGACCTCTGAGTGTGTGCGCGAGAAGAGAGAAAAAGTGAGCAGTGAGGTGATTAGGCGTCTTGCCTGTGTGTGTGTGTGCATCTATGTGTGTCTCTGCCCGTGTGTGTGTGTTTGTATGTTTCTCCCTCAAGTGGGTTTAATGGGGATTTTGGGAGGGTGTGAAAAGCTCAAGCGACACCACCTCACAGTAGGCAAGCCGCTGTTTGCGAGAGAAAGGCGAGCGTGAAGGCCGGCCAAGCGCCGGCTGCCCTGTGACCGAGAGGCGGGAGACGGCGCCAGGGGGCCCGTTTTCATGCACACGTGTTTATATGAGTGACTTTGTGTGGATTTTTAATTTACAAAAGATAACTTTTAACTAAAGGTAATATGCATTTACTGTGTGATCTAAGGCCTCGACCCCCCCCAGCTGGAACACGCGTGGAAAGGCTTTCATCCAGCGGGACCGAGCCCACAGCGGCTCCATCTCGGCACTGGACTTCAGGGACATCATGGTCACCGTCCGGCCGCACATGCTCACATCCTTCGTGGAGGAATGCCTCGTGGCGGTGGGTTTTTTTTGTTTGGCTCTGTGGTTCCCTCTTCCCTTTTGTTCCACAGTCGAGGCCGGATGAAATCAGGGGAGGTCGGTCGCTGCGGTTCACCTGCAGTTTCGAAACTTTGTCTTCATGTGAGGAACAAATTGGGTTTTCTTTAAAAAACAATAAATGCAGTAACTGCGAGAAATGTAATTTCACATCACAGCTGTTGTTTCGACGTGGTACATGATTGGTCACCATGTGTAAAACACACGCATCAAACCACGGCTTTGCGTAACCAAACGTAAGGTGATTTCAGAAACTTGTACATGTATTTACTTTATTTGTGATGTGTGCCTCAGGAAGGCAGGCGACCCTATTCACCATGAAAGGGTTAAAAGCAACACTGTTTTGTTCCATCTCACTTCCTCCCTACTGTCTGTTCTCTCCTCTGTGTTCGCTTCTTTCTCTCACCCCCACGGCCCAACGGCGTGGCTTTCTCCTTCCCTCCAGCTGTCCATCCCTCCTGTCGTCCCCTTCCTCGTTACCTTTCCTGTCACCTCTCATCTGTCCTCCCTCTGTCCCCCCCCACTCCCCTTCATTTTTTTCCCTCTCTTTCTCTCCCCGCCTCCCTCCCTCCCTCCCCCGTGTCTCTGTCTCTCTCCCCAACATGTCATTACGTCTAACCTCTCTGGCAGTGTCAAAGCCGAGCAGGCAAGCTGAATAGGAAGATAAGAGACAGAGATAGATGGAGACTGGAGCTTTGCAGTCCATCATCGTTTGTGCGTTTTGTGCTCTGTTTGTTGTGAGCTCTGAGGTGTTTGTGTGTCGTCGTTGCTTTTACATGTGCAGCGGTGTTTGCTGAGCGCGTGCCGGTCCCGCGTCTGTGTCCACCCGGTTTCATAAACACCTTGTAGACTGTGTCATTTTCTCCGCTGTGTTTACCTCACCGACCAGACATCTTGGTGTGCTGTTAGTTAAACGCTGACACACACGTGCACAAACACACACACACACACAAACACATCCAAAAACCTATAAACACTGCAGACACATTAAAAGCAGAATTATAACAGAACACGGTGAAACAGTAACCTTTAATTCACTCACCAACGCGGCAAATTACCAGCTCTGCTGTCTTTTCACCCGAATATTTTCCTCCTCCCCCCCTGTGTGAGAGCCTCTGTGTGGGATATCATGGGAAGATCCGTGCCCACAGGCTACACAGATACGAACCGATACAAAAGTGTCCCTCTGTTAGGACAGTTTCCCCCCCCCTCCTCCCGCCCGAGATCCAGAGCTTCCCTCCTGGTTGCAAACATGGCGAGCCGAACGCAAACGCCGCTGGATGCGTCTGTAAAGCAAACAGTGCCATCTAGTGAAAGGCCGCCCTGCAGGAACCCTCCGCGCTGTTCATTCGAGCCAACCACGTTTCATAAAAAGGTACTCCGACGCGCGTTTCCTGGACGCACGGCAGCCCGAGCTGCTCCTCGCAGCGTTCCAGGGCCTGATTTGATAAAGATGGGAAGCTGGTTCACATAAAAGAGTTTGTGTGCAGTCTGGAATGTCCTCAAGAGCCCCAGCATCTATTTTTAATATGTTACCTTTTTATTTTCTGTTCTTTTATCACTTCCCTCCACCTCATAAAAAAAAAAAAAAGAAAAAAAGAAGTTAATTAAACTCCCTGAGAGTGTTCGTTGTGCGATGGAAAAAGCAGCGGTTGAGACAGGTTTACTTATCCCTGTGGAGGGATGGTGGAGACCAACGCTGATGGTTAACCGCACGCGTTCTTTAAGATTTCCCTTTTCACGTGCGACAGTTTCTGAACGTCTCCTCTGTCTTACTCAGAATCTCTAATATCTAGATGTGTTCGTTCTGCCTCGTGTGTAGTGTGATTGTGTCTGTGAAAGGTTTTATTGCGTGTAAAAACAGCGCGTGCGTCTCCATCCATGGTGCAGGTCGCGGGGGGCAGCACATCTCACCAGGTCAGCTTTTCATTCTTCAACGGCTTCAACTCACTTCTCAACAACATGGAGCTGATGAGAGAGACCTACGGCGCTCTGGCCGGCCACCGGCGAGATGTGGAAGTCACTAAAGGTACAACAGGGAGAAGAAAAAAACAAAAAACACTCCAGAAAGACAGACATTATGCAGGACAAAGACTCACAAAACAAATGTGAGCATGAACGGTTTGCTCTCAGACGCACAAACTGCTACCGTCCCACACTTGGGGCCGTATCCAGTGTGTTTTGCAGATGATGTATTTACGTCTGTGTGTGCTGCGGGTGGAAACTTGTTTTTGTTTGGTTTTCTTCCGTCCCGTTTAGCGTTTTAAATGGACGCGTTGGATCAGACCGAGCACACGTACTGCGTGGCCGCGCTGCCTGACGGAGCCGGCTCTGTCTGCGAAGCGTCCCGGCACTCATCGCAGGGCGACTCTTTTCGGTCTCAGGATTTCGAAACGAGCTGTGCTGTCTCACCCTGTGGATCAGTGTGCACGCCAGATGCTTCAAACCATCTATGTAATACGAGTTTCCTTTACTCCTTTACTTACATTTAAATTACTATAGAGCGAGGTTTTCTCTTTTTCTCTGTTTCTCATGGTTAGTTCTTTTTTGTTAAATTGTGATCCCTCTCACTCGCTTGCCCCCTTTGCTGTCTCTCATTCCTTTGCTCGGTCCTTGGCACGAAGCCCAGTGAGCGTTTTCCAGTCTCTCTCTCTACCTTTCTCTCTGACTTCCCTCTCTCCCGCTCTGGTCATCCCGTCCTGACCTCTCTCCGCGCGGCCCGGGGGGCCACTCCTGTAGCCCGGCGATGCTATCTGAAGCCTTATCAGGGGTGTGGACCGTAGCCGACCCCGAACCAGGAGCCCATGTGCTGCCGGGCTTGTTCCCACCGTGGGTACGCCGAGGCTGGGCTTTGGCTCAACCCGCGGTGGCCCGTAGCCACCAGCCATCCACCCTCCACTCCCCGAGTCATTAAGGGCCTCCCCTGGGACTGCAAGGGCTCGGCTCCGCGCTCTCGTTGGCCGACGAGCGTGCAGTGTGCGCACACCCGCACGTATCGTGCGTGTGCATTTTGTACCACCCTATTTCAAACATTTCTCGCATACACACACACACACACACACACACAAGCATTGAGATGCATTAACACAGCCAACCGTGCACACAAGCGTAATAATCCTGATTGATTCCGTATGTGCAACGAGGCCACTGTTTGCCTTGGGGACGCCATTACAGTGCTTAACGCCTACGCAACAGTGCGTGCACACACTGTGTGCATGTGTGAGTGTTTGTGGGCGTACGTGCACACTACACTTTGTTTGTGTGTGTGTGTGTCCAAAAGACTTTGTTTGTTTACGTACGTGCACACTAGACTTGTAGAACACATATTTGTGCAGGCTACATGGCACATTGTGATGCATCTTTTGTAAACGTTGGTGATGGCCGAACTTTGTGAGTTTTTCTGCATTATGTGGTTTAAGTTAAATGTCTAAACAAACGGTTGGATAGAAATATAGTGACACATTAATCTTTCCCTTAGGATGAACTTCTGCAACTTGGGTAATCGCTCTGACTTTTCATATCTCTCTATTATTAGATCTAAATCTATTTATGACACTTTCGTTTTGGACCAAATGCCTGCAAAACTTATTTGATTTCCCCTCAGCCTTAAATGTCCTTTGTGTCTTAAGCTAATTAGTTAGTGTTGGCATGCTAACATGCTAAGTTGACAAACATGAAAAACATGATATCTATTTGAATTTGAGCATTTAGCTTGAATCACTGCAGCCTATATCGAGTTTAGCAGATGTTGCTGTAGACTTTTTTTTAATTCTCTTTCGTTTCATGATTTAATTATTTTTTCTTCTTTCTTCTCCTTTAAAAAAAACGTTTGTAATGTGCTTTGTAAAAGTGCTGTGTGATTCACAATTACTATTATAATACTCTGTGTTAACAAAGGATTGAGCGGAGAGTTCTAAATGAACCACTATCAACCTTTTTAAGTGCTCTTAAGTTGTCAAGAATCAGTCTGGAAAATTCCCCGCCGATGTCCAAAATGATTTTTACGTCTCATTTCTTTGTCTTCATCCTACATTCAGTTTGAAAGTATTAGGTGTGTCGAGGAGGAGTGTGGGTGATGTCTGCTCTGCTGACACAAGGTGGAAATCTGATTAGCATTTAGCACCGTGTGGGTAAGACCACTTTACAGAGAGGCAGGTAAATATAAAATGTGTATAGAGGGTCAGTCAGGTGTGTGTGTGTGTGTGTGTGTTTGTGTGTGTGTGTGTGAGAGAGAAAGAGAGCATGCCTCAGGGGAGAGCCGGGCTTTGGCGGGGTGAATGGCTCCAGTGTGGGACGACTTTGTCACAACCCCAGCCTGCTGCTCTTTGAATAAAGCAGGTCAAACAATGGTGACTCCTCCACTGTAAGCCACCCTACAGTCAACCTGTTCTTTATTCCCCCAACAATACAGCGGGTCTTAAGTTACATACTAAGCAGCCTCAGGACAACTCTTGAAGTCCATAACTCTGCATGGCGCACATGTTCTATGCAATGTTCTCATGATGAATTCCACATGCTTTGACAGTTATCACTTGTATGTTCCAACCAAAAATCACCATAAAAAAAAAGAAAAACCCTTCAAACGGGTTCGAGCAATATAGGTCCTGCATGTCCGGGCCCTCTTTATCAATTCAATGCTCATCTTTCTTATTGCACAGGAGCAGATGGAACATAACACCACAGGACATTACACTAAGGAGTGTTATCCAGTTTTTTCATTGACCCTGTGTTTAGATCAAAATGCCTAAGACTCTACCAAAGTAGAACAGGCGTCTTTTTCTGAGTTGTGAGAGGTTGTTTTGGAAAACACAGGTATTCAGAGTGATGCAGACCTGGCATGTTAGATTAGATTAGAACGCTTTATTAAATCCCATTGGGGGAAACTCATTTACCACCAAATTTACTCATACAGGAATGGAAACAATTTTCAGAGTGTAAACAAACAAACACAAGAGACATTACAATGAATAAATAACACCGAATGAGACATGACGAACATCATAAACAAAATTAACAAAAAATCGAAAAAAGGGTCTTAAAGCTACAGCATACACAAAAACCTTTTTCTAATTTTCATCCTCCTAAAAGCGGCGTGTTCTGTTCGGGGACATCTTCATTGCAAAGCGCTTTGCTGACAGCGTACTTGTGTTGGCTCCATCGGGGCTTGACCTGGCGTGCACTTGTGCAGTTTTGCGTCCAGCTTTTCGGCTGCAAACTTCGGGATCCGGGAGACGGCGAATTGCTTGATTGGAGTGAAGAAAGAATTGTTCCGTCGACTGTAAGAGTTTGAGATGTAAGTTGGCTGGTGAGTGTATGTACAATGGACCACCAGATGGACAGCCTGATTGGCCTCCCCGTTCACAGGATGTTCTACCCTCCTACTCCCTTGACATGAAAACCCTTAAGCTCTTGAGTTACCCGTCGATCTACGCTCCGCTACCAGTGGTCAGGAGCTTTGATCTGGTATCTGAGAGTTCATGTATTCAGAATGAGCTCAGAGTGAGCTGGGTTTCTCTGCATAGAAAGAAGGCAGTGTGGGATCTGATCATGATGCTCCCTGAGGGCCTTGCTGTGAAGTTCCCCGGACCTGGAACCCACCAGAGGAATGGTTCATACCCACGTCCCCCAGATCGATGTGGCTGAGGAGAAAGTCCTCTCGGCTGTTGGCAGATTCAGAGCCGACAAAGGATGAATTGAGATATTTTGCATTCATTTCTTCATAAATGATCGTGTTTCCCATGAGTGCATTTTGGTTATGTATCTCTGAGTGTGGATAAATGAATGAACAGATATCTGTCTTTACTGCAGAGGAGTTCATCGCGGCTCAGAGGTTTGGTCAGGTGACACCTATGGAGGTCAACATCCTCTTTCAACTGGCTGACCTGTCAGAGCCCCGCGGGTAAGACGCACACACACACTAGCTTTGATTTTATAGCCCATTTTTGATAATTTGACAGTTCTTAGCTGTATAACTTGGATTCCATATTCAATCTGGTCAAAAGGTGGAGGATAAAATCTTCATGGAAACAGTTGTTGGTGTTGGTGGATGTGACGGTTGGTGTCGGCATACATTCCATGTTTCACTGACAACAGTAACATAAGTTCAGGAAGGAGTAGCTCTGTGTACAGAAGGAATAGCATCTAATAACTGACACAGGCTTAAGTCATTTACTCTTTTCCTCAGTTATCAGTTGTAGAGGTTAAGTCCTTCCCAGAGTTGCCCCCCAAAGCGCACATTAAGCCCCAGGTCCGATACCTCAAAGAGAGAAGCGCTTCCTTCATCCTCAACCTTCTCTGCAAAGGATCAAAAGAATCCGCCACGACTGCGTCAGTGCCAGAGAATCCTCTTTCAGTCCAAAACCAATTCAAAATCCTCTTTCTCTTTAAAAAAGGGCAATTGCAGGCCCTATGATCCGTGGCGCACAACAACTGTATGAGTTTCACATTCCCCCACTTCCTTTGCGTCTGCCCAGCGGCCCAACCAGTGCTCTCATAATTCCTAACCCCGGCCTGAGACACCACCTGATTATTATTTCTGGGCAATGGGATACTTTAATAGCCCTCCCCACTCCCCTTGATTGGAGATGCGAGAGATAATAGCCTCAATATTCCTCCCCGGCCTGAGAAATCTGGGACCGCCGTACAGATGCAATGGAAAGCCTGGTTCCACATCCAAAGGTTAAATATCGTTGTTGTACTTGGATGACGGGATTAAGGAGTGGGAGCTGTCGGTTCCTATAAATCGGTTGTCTTACTCAATCATGCCAAGCGCGGGCCTGGACTTTTTTTAATGCCACAATGTATTCACGTGGAACGATGGCAAAGTGTCCGTAAACTTCAAGCAGCTTCAGACTGACAGATCAGGCTTCTAGAGGTCACGGACTCGGTGAAATGTTATATTCCTCCGAGAGTTTTTACAACAGTTTAAAGTTACTTGAAACCTCCCACTGTCTCTCCTCCGTCAGATGTGTTGGTTTAGTGGACATTGAGCAGATCGCTCCGCTGGAGGAAGGCGCCCTTCCCTACAACTTGGCTGCGGTCCAGAGACAGGTACGCAATATGAGGACTTGTTGATGTGTTTGGTTTCCTCTTCCACACTGGCAGCTCTTTTTTTTCTTCGCCCCAGTACATTCTCTAGAGCTCGATGTCAGAGCACTACGATTTATAATTAAGGATAATGATATCTCCTGTTCACAAGTAATTCATCTCCCATTGATTTGGGGTTTTTGGCATGAATTGCACGATTCATCCATTGAGAAATTGTTTTTGAGTTACACGTAAGAAGGAAAGAAGAAGAAGAAGAAAAAAAAACAACGGAAGACACAGATCCAAACATGTTTTGTTAGATGGAAAGTTTGCCCTAAAAAAACTCCCAGTGTTTGTTATTTCATCTCATTTTTAGAATTTCATACTAAGGCCGAGACCAAGTTGCTTCCAAGTAATGTCCCATTACCGACTTAAACCTACAGAGACTTCCGTGAGAGAAAACTGACATGTGTTTGAGGTTTTAGAACGAATATACAGACAAAACTCATGTCCAAGGAAATTAGGAAGAGAGCCATCCTCGACGCCTCATGAAGATAAAAGACGCATGTAAACGAGAGTGAAGAAGGACGTGTGGACAGTCAAACAGACGAGCAGACGACTGTTTTCCATCTTCGGCTGTTTGGTCAGAGTTGTGTTGCCTGGTGGGTTCCAGCAGTGCAGAGAAGGTTTGGCCGGGCCATGTTGAGGCAGACGGGGGCCAAAGGGGAGAAAGCAAAGGGGCCCAGCACTGCACAGACGCCAGTCCCACCACAATGAGCCACTTTAGGCCCTTGTGGTTTGGCCTCGGGGGGGCTGGCCGCCAGCGCGCTGGAGCTCTCTCTCCTCATCGGTTGCTGCTTCTCTCCATTTCCTTTTTTCATCTGCTTCTTTTCTCCCTGTTTCTTATTTCTCTACGCCGGCCGTTTCTCTCTGTGCATCCTGGTGACTTTTTCTCTCTCCCGTCTTTCACCCTCAAACATCTTGACGGTTTGTGTGGCCGAGTCGTAGCGGCGCACACGCGGAGGGAGGATGGTAGAGGTGGAGGAGGTCGAATATAAAGGAGACATTCGGTCAGGAAGGAAAACCACTGGGGATGGATTGTAGAAGGGGGCGGGAGTTTACTCTGACAGGTGGACCTGTTCTAGAGACCCCCATCCCCCTCTCTCACTCTGAGACACACACACACACACACACACACACACACACACACACAACCCTCCACCTCGCCAGGCTCTCCAGGGTCAAGAGGCCAGAATGAGGCAAAACAGACAAGGCCACAGGTATCAGGTGGAGATGTTACTCTGTGTTCTCATGCCGAAATGATTAGTGTTTTTGCTCGTCGTTCAACTATTAACTAATTATCATTTAAAGTAATTATTCAAATGCAAAGGCATCGCGAGGACGTCATCTTGTGAGATCATAATAACGGGCGTTTCCTTCTTGCATTGTATATTATTAATAGAAATAAAACCATTAAATCAATAAATTGTTGGCCTTGATGTTTGTATTGATAAGTCATAATCAAAAACTCAATGTCTTAAGACATTTGTGTATATTATTTATATCTGTGGCTGCTTGGCACTCTCTCTCCATCTCTCTTGTCCACATTGACCAAGATGCTAAATACCCGTGTCACAATGAAATTGGGACTTGCTGTCAAACGCTGTACAGCAGGTGTGACGACTGATTAATTAATAGCTGGTAATTAAGTCTGCAAGGTGGTGCAATCAGATTACTTTTTTATGAAACAGTATTGAAGTGTTTTGGGATTTTTGAAAAGAAACGAATGACTAAAAACAGTGTCGCGTATCACCCCCCCCACCCCCATCCCCCCATCCCTCTCCCCCGCGGGGCGAGCAGCAGTTGGGCATCGGCGTCCCCCGCCCCGTCCTGGTCCAGGTGGCGGAGTCGGCCTACAGGTTCGCCCTTGGCTCAGTGGCAGGGGGTAAGAGTCACGGCCCATTGGCTCTCTGCATACCTGCACTCCACCACCCGCCCGCCTACCTCTTTGCGTGTCTACCTGAGCCCCTCCCGCCCCCCCCCCCTCCCCCACACACCCCTCCGCCCTCTGTTGTCCTCATAAGAAAAGGGTGAGAGACAGAGAGGACAATGCCCCCTCTATTGCCCCCCCTTCCCCTCCCTTGCTAACAAGAGCGACGGTTGCTCCGCTGCTTAAAGAGAAGTGCTGCCCCCCCACCCCCCCCTTGTGCCCCCCTTCCTCCGTCCATCCCTTTATCGCTCCCTTCCCTCCGTCTCGTTCGGTCCCGTCTCTCGCCTCTCGGCGCGCCATGGGAAAACCCTCCTGTGTGGATTCTTTTGTACCTGCGTCAGTGATCAGAAGGGGACGGGGGTGGGGGTGAAGGGTGGGGCCTGGGCCTTGTGTTTGTCTTCAGACTCCCCACTGTTTTCCTGCTCCTCCTCCCTTCCTCCATTCCTTCCCTCTCCTCCTCCCTCTATCCCAAGGGAGACAGCTTAATAAGGAGGTACGGGTCCGCCATGCCTTCTTCTTTCTCGCTCTCTCTCTAATTAAGTCTGTCGCCTTGGGTCGGTTCTTTTTGTTTGTGTCCGTCTGACGGGCCGAAAGACACTGCCGTCTCAAGGCATTTTTCTTAACGTCACCTCCGCAGACTTCCCCTTCCTCCTCCGCCTTTTCTCTTAAAAAGGGTCACATCACACGGGTTACAAATACGTCTATTTTCCTCTTTCTCCGAGGTTTATTTTTACTGTACAGTCAAGGCCCCAAAAAATACCAAATACCAAACGGTAACGTTACAAATTATTCAATTGTACTTCACACAGTTCATTCGTAATGCTTTCAACAACAAAAAGAAAGTCTAATGTAACTTTCAACGTTTCTTATTTTATGAATCTATTTTTGACTTCTCTTCACTTTAAATCAGAATCTAAATAACCATCTTTGGTTTTCTTTGTAGCGGTGGGTGCCACAGCAGTGTACCCCATTGATCTGGTGAAGACGCGCATGCAGAAGCAGAGGACCAGTGGCTCCCTGGTGGGAGAGCTCATGTACAAAAACAGCTTTGATTGCTTCAAGAAAGTGGTGCGCTACGAGAGCGCCTTTACCGAGGTCAGTATGCACGCAGACGAATTTAAAACTCACGCTTTAATGTGTAATGTCAAATATCTGCACGCTAGCAGCAGGTGCTGCGGACTGGGCGGTTTAATGCATCACTCGTATCTTCACAATCGTTCAAAGGGGAGAGCAGTGTGCCAAAATCCAAGTAGTATTGACAGACAGCTTTCAGGAAAAACAACTCACAGGCAGTCAGATCCACAAAATGGGTTTTTGAAAAAACGAAAAATTCTGAGATGTGAGAGAAGAAAGAAGAAGAAGCAGCGGCGGCGAGGAGGGACGATTAGAGTGAAGAGGAGGAAGAGGAGACGAAAAGTGTAGGGTGGACAGGAGGGCCGTGCGAGTTCACCTCTCCGTTGACCTTTCTCCTTTGAAGCGATTCCGGCTGGCTGCGGACTGTAAGAGCAGGACAATGAACGCCGCACGCGGGGGCCACATTCCTTCGGGCCCGTGTCACCGCGCGGTGACGTCGCATGTCTGGACTCACGCGGCCGCAGACAATGAGCAGGTGCACAAGTATGCAGGCATGCACAAGCGGACAGGCGGGCGACTTTTTTCGGGTGGGGGGGCATTCGAGTATACGGGGCACGACATCCCTAATCACCGCCTGCCCTGTCTTCGGAAGCCGGGACTTTGGGTGTCTCTGTCCGGGTACTGTTGGGGTCGGGTTGAAGACGGACTGAAAGACGTTTCCCCAGAACAGCGGCAGGGCGCTTTTACAAAAATCCCATGATCGTGATTGACAGCACCGGCTCCCGGGAGGAAACTTGAATGCTTGGATTTCTGTGGGAAACACAAAGGCCATCGACAGTCTGGCTCCAGGTAGATGGCCAGACAGGTATCCTGGCAGCCGAACTGTAGTTATGTAATATAAGTTGAGAGTGCCTTCGCTGGAAACCTCGGGGGGAAAACCGGCTGAGCGAAGAATGTTTTGTGCGAGGAAAAAAAACTTGGCACAATTACTGTTGTAGCATAATGTCAGGATCTCTCATAAACAAAACAGTACGAGGGGCACGGGGGGGCTTTTTTAGTCCTGTCTCCGTCGATGGTTTGAATTAGGCGTATTTTCGCCATGTCCTGTCATGTTTATGCATGTACGTTCTGTGTTGAAGACAGCATGTCAAAAGAATTCAGAAATGATTTTTGGATTTGCTTTTTAATGAGGTCCAGACATCGGGTCCTTTCGCCAACTTCCAAATTAAGTGTGTGATTATGTGTGTGTGGCCTCGCTACACACAAACTACTGTGGATCATTAACTGTGTTTGTAACTTTCAGAGAATGTGTGTGTGTGTGTGTGTGTCCGTGTGTGTGTGTGTGTGTGTGCTTTTGGCCTTGGGGCTGGGTAGGGGGCCAAGTTTTATTGTGCTCTGTTGTGATTATTTTGTTTATTTTTATCCTGCTCTGGGTTGTAATTGAGGTCTGCGTAAACTTTTGGTTGGTTTGTTTTATACTCTGCCCTTTTTTTTCTATTCTGGGAAGCAGTTTCTCTCTCTTCATCTCCTCTTTACCCGTCCTTCCTCTCTCTCTCTCTCTCTCTCTCTCTCTCGCTCTCTCGTTGCTGCTCTGATGTCCCCACACTCCACATCAATGGGTTTCATTAGAGTCTGGAGGATCTCGCAGGGTCCGATGCATGCGCCGGGAAGCCACACATGTTGAGTGTGTGGAAGTGGTACACGTGTGCGTACGCACCAGTGTGTGTGCAAGTGAGTGGGGGTACCACAGCGCTCTTTTTTTTTTTTTTTTTCTAATCATCTCGTCATTTTCTAATGATAGGTCTCGTACCACAGCTACTGGGTGTGGCGCCCGAGAAAGCCATAAAGCTCACAGTAAGTTGCTGCGTTAGAAAGTGCACACAGACACGACTGCACATTCGCAAAGACGTTCAATGCATTGCTTCAATGCTCTTGATTGATTTAATATAATATGATACTACAAATATAACACGCAAAGAGATGTGAAAAAACTGTAGTTACATGCACATGACCGGATTTATTCTGTTAATTGTTCACGTCCTACATGAAACATTGTTTTACATTAATATCATGTTCTAACATACCAGGTAAAATAAATCCTCTTGTGTTTCCAGGTGAATGACTTTGTGAGAGGAAAGACAGAGGGACGGAAACGTCCCGTTGGCAGCTGAGATCATGGCCGGTGGATGTGTAAGTCTCAAAACAACTGCAACTTGCATTTCTTTTTGGTAATTTATGGTGTATAACTGGGTGGGCTGTATCTGGACAAAATGTATGACTTTTCTTCCATTCCATTAACTTCGAAAGTATAGAGTGGAAATTTAAGACAGATATTAACGACCACGATATTAGAAAGTAAACCTCACCTGACGTATAAATGCGGCCTGCTACTCGCTACGTATTTATAGATTGACTTTCAAGGAATATCAAGACAGGTGTTCAACTTCTGGCAAAGCAATAGTAAAAACATAATAGAAGGTCTTTCAAAAAGACACACGATGCAAGAGTTAAAAAAGGAACACGTTTGCAACAGTGTGAACTCAAATCAACTGTCGACAGAACATATTACATATATGTCTTCATTGTCACGGCTCTTGAAAGCGAAAACGATGCTGGGCAGCACACAGACAGTGAGTACAGCAGCGCGGCAGCACACGCGTCTGCTTAACTATGTTTACCTGTCTTCCTGCGTGCCGCCCCTCCGACTGCTGAGCAGACAGACGTGAAGCTGTTTGGAGGCCAAGAAGTCGCTGTTTGTTGATGGAAAGATGGAAAGATCACACATGAAAGACACGATACATTTGATACCACATACTGTACATGCTCACAGGAGCGTGTGCATCTATGACGAACAGAAGAGCCTACAGGTGCACAAACACACGCGCACACACACACACACACACACACACACACACACACACTTCCAGGGAGGAGATGAAGATTGACAGCCGCTGCTACCTGAGACCCCGGCCGGTCCTTTACCTGCTCCCCTCCCATCGTAGGTTTTGATCACTGAGCTGTCACAGTCTACCCCCGACGCATGCACACACACACACACACACACACACACACACACACACACGTTTGCCGTGAGTCCACCAAGGCCGGTAGCAAATGAAAGGAGGTCTTTCACTCAACCTTCTTTTGATGCAGATCGCTAAAGCAAACTATTTCAGGATACACAAGTCATTATGGGTTTAGCTCCACTCAGGCACATTCAATTGGCGTTATTTGTTACAGGAATATGTTTTAGTACGCTGCATTTGCTGTAAATTTTGTGAGTGGGTTCTTTGTGGGATTTTTCTTCTTTTTTCCTTTTTTTTTGCGACATAGACACAAAAAAAGAAAAAGGTATTGTAACCGCAGGAAAGCAAATATACTGAAGAAACATTTTTCAGCGCGGCACTGGGTGTGAAAGGCAGTGGTTGCTTTTATTTATACAACCCATATGGATTCAGAAGCAGAACCATAACAGATGCATAGGCAGAGCAGAGGATAAATGCAGAGGAGAGGAGTGTGGATGGATGGACTTTTCCTCTTTCCTCTGTGAGCCGTCGTGACAGCTCCTTTCATCCTGGCTGAGGCCCCGGTGTTAGTGCTGGCAATGCACTCTGCCTGCCACTTTATCTCACACACACACACACACACACAGACACACACACACATCGAACCCTTCTGAACCCTGTTTTAGCCGCTGCACATGAAATCTGTTTATGTCATTTGGTAGCTGTGAAAGTGTTGGTTCAGACCACAGTGTCAGCCCCACGTCCACAGTGCGTCAGGCAAAAGAGAGAGAAAGACGGAAAGTACGAGACGACGGCGATGCTATTTGTTTGCTCGCCATTTCGTAAACTTATCTCGAAAGCCTTTTCATCTTCTCCAATGTCTCATGTCTCTCGTTTCCTCTGCTCGCCGCCTCCACTGGCTCCTCTCCCTCCTTGAAGCCGTTGCTCAGCACCATTGAGCCTCAGCGCGCTTTGCCAATTTCTAATGGTCATTTGGTAAGAATGGCATGCTCCATTGACTGAGCTGGCTGGATGCTTATCTGGCAGTTACTGGTCTGCATTTTAGGACTTGAGTTACCCAAAATACCGACTGGGTCATTGTTGAGAGGGGGAGTCAAAATACAGTAATACTTTGTTCGCGTTCATTGTGAATGTAGCATGGTTGATTTCAGTCTTTGTAATGAGTTTCTTATTCGGGCCTGATGTGGATTATTCAAACCGTATCAAAGAATCTTACACACACACGCGCAGACCCAGACCAGCACATGTAGCATGAAGGGCGTTAAGTGCAAATGGAATTGTTATTTATGGAGGGTATAGTGAGCGATTGGCTTGTGAGTTTATGTTTGGGAGGGTCCTCAATCTTTACTAAACTCTTGGTATGCTCTCTGCAGCACACACACACACACACACACACACACGTACACAAAGCCAGGAGCTGCGATGCGTGCGTAAGGTGCTGACGCTCCAGGTTTCTAAGGATCACCTTGCCTTGTAATTACCTGGGAATCATCAGAGAGCCGCCGACGCTGTCACTCCATAATCACAACCCTCAACCTCTCAGCCTCCACCTCAACCTTCCCTCTCTTCTCTTGTTTTGACTACTCCTCTCTCTGGTTTCTGTCTCTCCATCTCTCTCATTAGCTCATTCTGTTTATTCCTCTGATCCTCTTGTTTCTATTTGCCCCCCCTTCACTGGTCCCTGGATGCTCAAAGTTATTCTCCACAGCTAACTAGGGACGCAATGATGAAGCTGCAGCCTCACAGCTTTTATCTCATGTCGTCGGGCCTAATTGTCACCTCATTTTTCCGAACAACGTTGTTGTTTACACTCCTTGAGTAAACAACGTCTCCGTCTTCTTCATCTGCAGTCTCATTAATAGACAATTGGAGCAGCCATCACTGCCTCGGGGGCCGGAGCCAATGGCCTCTTGATGCTCAGGCTATTAGCCGGCATGTAATCAACTCTGAGTCATAAAGCGTTAGCCGTGAGATGTAGCAGCTTTAGCTGTAGCTATTCTGTGGCTCATTTAAAAAGCGGCTGCAAACACCTTCAATGCGACTATTATGATCTCTGTCTCCCCCTCTCTTCTTGTAGGCAATATATGGCAACACTTAAAAACGGAGGGAAATTAAGCGTGCTGCGGATTGAAGCTTAATGCCTTCCCGTAAGGCGGGAGGCGACGCGCACAATCCATCATTCATAACGAAGCGACTCATGAAAGGGGGAGAAAAGGGAGCAACAACAACAAACAGCCCGGGCCTATTTAGGACAGAAATGGCACCATGGCAACCGATTGCTATCTAATTGCAATGTGCCTCCCTTTCGCGTGTGGCTACAGTAACCACTGGCAACCGTAGCCAGAGAGAGACAATATTAGAAAAGATGAGAGGGATCGTTTTAGTGGAGGTCAAAGCAAGTAAAGGGAGAGAGACAATCCTGTAAAAGACACAGAGAGGGAGAGCGATCAACAAGGGAAGGGAAATACAAGACGGATGTCAGAATATTCAAACTGACGGCCGGTCCGCGTCTTCTAACGGCGTAAACATTTCTCACAAGCCAGAAGCCTCCCGAAGGTGCCGTCATGTCCCCCCCCCGACGAGACACAGTTAACCATTTGTCTCGCCACAACTCCGCCACAGCAGCTACTCCTTACGCTTAAAAGCCCCGCCGCCGACCTGAGAGGCAGAGGAACCGGTCTCAACTTGCAACAGTGTTGTTGCCCTCGCAAGTACAGGTTTGGAGGATGGTGTGAAGTGAGAAGTGGGGGAGAGAAAGAGGAGTCAGAGTCCCCGCAGGGTTTGTGTGATGAAGACAAAACAGCTGACGGACTCCACTGCATCAGCCGCCTCGCCTCCTCTCTACATGTTTGTTTTGCAACGGGGTCGCTGAGGTGGAACTGCTACTCGCAGTACGAGCAAGCGGCTGCATTCAAATAATTTAGGTATATTCAATCAGTGGGTTTTACTTTCACATGAACGCTTTGTCTTCACTGCCTGTGAACAATGCACTCAAAACACAATATCACAGCACAAGCAAGATGTGAATGATTAGCGGTATATAGGGGTGTAACAATTCATTTTAACAATGATTCGATTCGAATCACGATTCATGGTTGCCGATTCGATTCATGGACGATCTGGGTTAATTTAGAACGATTCGATTCGATTCAGTGACTTGAAATTGATTCAGTAACTACTGGACATTGCAGGCAAAGTTTCTGAGATCCCTGTTGTTTCTTGTAAGGAAATCAGGTTTAAATTAATTATGGATATTATAAACAAGCAAACAACAATTGATGGCAATGTATTAACCTTTTATTGTGCAACCATTTTCAATGTAAACATTACACAATGTTTGGATGAATTCACAGAACCCCGGACTTTCAACCACATTGTGGGGTCGCATGTCTTTACAGATAAACTTGGCAATTGTTACTGTGATGTTGAGTTTGGTGCTGGCGAGGCCTGAGGTGTCTGCAGAGCTGGAGTTACCTGCTGCTGCTGCTGCTGCTGCAGCGGTGACGCTGCTAGAGGTCCTGACTGTCGGCATTGTTTAATTCCACGGCGCCTTAGTAGATGGCCGGAAAGATTCGTTGTGTTTCCGTGGTTTTTTTATTTGTCTTCTACATATTCTACAAACAGCGACCGACTTATTTAGAACACCTCCGTGTTTGCAAAAGCCAAAATGTTTCCACACGCTGGATCGATAAGTTGGTCTGTAAATGTCTCGCTCGCAGTCGTCTCCTCCACGCTGTGTTTTGTTGTTGTTCTGAGTTTCACGCGGCTGCCGCTGCGTACTGATGACGTCACAGACAGGCAGACTGAATCGAGTAACGTTTAACGGGTCTAAAGTGCTAACAAACAAACAATCATACATCTATAGCATTTTTGTACTTAAATCCAATGTGCAGTTTCCAAGTATCGATACAATCGATTATGTACCATTTCAATCGGTTTGTAATCGATATATATCGTCCGGAATGCCGATTTGCGGAGCACAGATCGATTCAGTTGGATCGCAGGAATATAAATCGATTAATCGATTCAGTGAATGAATCGTTACACCCCTAGCGGTATATCAAAGTCAGAAGTCAGGTTGGATTTAAGTACCATGTTGATCCGTATCCCGCTTCTCTTTCTGCCCCCCCAGGTTGGTGGCTCCCAGGTGATCTTCACCAACCCGCTGGAGATTGTAAAGATCCGTCTGCAGGTGGCAGGAGAGGTCACAGCGGGGCCGAGGGTCAGTGCCCTGTCCGTCATCAGGGACCTCGGCTGCTTTGGGCTCTACAAGGTGGGAAACATGGTTTGGGTCTGCAGCATGGTTTTTATGTATTACGCACATGTCTGAGCTACATATGATTCTTCCTTTTGCAGTATTTTACAGCCACGTTTTTAGTTTTAGTTTTTACCCACAAAATGTACTTCTCTGCTCTACAGTATAATTTTTACTATGAAAATCTTGCCCACCATCAATATCAAAGTCCCTCTGTAAAATTGTTTGTCTCATCCCAATGTTACCTCCAAACACAAAAACCTTATTTTTCATTCAGTGTCATTCTTAATTTATAGAATAAACCAGGAAGCAGTTGGAATAATTTAGTCAACACCTATGAAATTGTCTCTATGTGAGTATTTAGTTTTGTTGCAACTAGAGTAGATTATCTGCACATTATCTGCACGTTGTTATGTTATGTATATTTGTTAATGCCAATAGTGTAGAAATTCACTGATGCATATTAGCTTCTCAGTACTTACATCATGACAACTTTCCCTTTTATAATATTTTTACCATGTTTTTGCAGGTAGAGTCTCGACATAATTAGATGTCTAGTATTCAGATTGCATTGTATTTTTATCAACCTCACAATTTCACAGCAATCCATTATTTCTCATTACTGTTATGACTAAATAATATGTGATTTTTCTATTAAAATTATACATTATTTTACCCCACATCAGCCATCATTTAAATCAACCGTTTCATGTGGACTTCTGTTCAAGAACAAGAAAAGACACAAATTATGCTAAAAGCAGTATTTAACCTTAATTGCCATAATTGGTATTTTTCAATAGCACACGGCTAAAAATTGCAGTGCACTGTTTGACCATATTAGTTGTGTGATATTATGCACCTTGTAAGGGAAGAGTGAAAGATTATAGTTCATCATGGGCAAATATAAAAATATATTTGCGTTGGTGTGTTTGGAATATTATTTTTTCGTATTTTATAATCACACTCATTTCATATAAAAGACTTCTAGCATCTGTCTCCTCACACCAGGTAGACGTACAGCCCAATAGTGTGTAGGCTCGTAGGCATCAGTGGCTAACTGTGGCTACCGCTAATATCAGCAGCTTAACTGGCTAGACATTAGCCCGCCGGGTTAAACATAGCATGTCTAATTAAATGACATAAATAAGTCCCAATGGAGCTCGGCGGGAGACGCTCCGCTTCAACTGTAAACACAATCAAGTGTGAAAATGTCAATCTCATACCTGTGGTTGTTTTAATTTGCAAGTAAGATGATGGAACTTGTGTTTTTCAAATCCCAAGTAAACTATTAAAGATTTAGTCTTCCTGAGACCGGACTTTACTTTTAAAAGTCTGCTGATTATTTAATAAACTGGATCTCATTCCCTCTGGGGTCCAAAATTATTCCCTCCTCACTTTTGAGTGATTAGAGAAATGATTATGGATCATACAGGGAGCTCGTCAGACAAATCATGCGCTTGTCAGGTCCATGCATGACGGTATTGTTCTTTTTCAGTAGCAATCGATGGTTCTCTACTTTTCACAATGCATGATGGCACGATTTGAGTCCACTATGTAGGGTGAGATGTTCGGACAGCGCTACACAGTCTGTGTGGTCTGCTGATGTGATCACCTGTCAGCCCAGACAACTTCTACGTAAACCTTTGGGATCTTTTAATGAGACTATAACAGAGCGTGGAGCCTCCTCTTGTCTCCGTCTACCTGCCTCTGGTTCCTGTGTCTCTGTAGCTGTGCACTCACGCCTTGTAATTTATGACCGTGTACTAAAGAGTGTGTGTGTTTGTCCACGTAGCTACTGTCTCCATTCTGCCGTCTGCTGCGTCGCCCGTGTGTGAGTGTGTGTGGAGCTGTGCATGCCCGTGCACATGCTTCGGTGTGCTCATCTCCCATGCAAGGAGAGGAGACAAAGTGCATGGAGGAAGCAGTGGTGGTGATGGTGGTGGTGGTGGTGTTGGTGGTGGTGGTGGAGGGGAGCGGGGTAGACGAGACGAGCTCCAGCCTGCAAAGTCCAGACGGGCTGGCTCCGCAGGGGCTGCACCCAGGCACAGAGCAGCCTTTGTCAGGGTAATTATCCTGACGCTCAGCCTCTGCTGGTGGAGCTGCAGGCCGGCGGGGCGGCCGACGCACTAGCGCCACCATTCGCCGCTGGGGGGGAAGTTCTCTGTGCAGGAGTGTTGAACCCACACAGACACTTTCGTGCACCGGGGTTAAGTTGGTGTTTTTGGGTGCCGGGCGTACATCCGCTCGACCGGGCCGAAGGAAAGGAGACGGGAGGGAGATAGCGCAGGTTATCAGCCAGCTGAGGGAGCGAGTCTGTGTTAGTGTTTCCCACAGGAGTTAAACGAAGCCTGCTCAGCCCACAGAATGTCTTCTGTTGACTGGAGTCGCTGTGTCAAGAAGGTGGCAGCGAGCCAGCAGCCTTTAGACGCAGCGGGGAACTCAATAGCCTTGATGACGCAGTGTTGTTTACAGTGGCAGACAAGGAGTCATCTTTGTCAGCAAGTTCGTCTTTTCTCCCACTCTGGTTTTTTTATTCCTTCGGCTTCGCTTTTGGATCCGCCTCCTTCACCTGCTGCCGGGGACGCAGATCGTGTGCATGTGGAGGAAACGGATCTGTTTGGCATGTTGTGGCCAATATTTCACTCCGCTACAGAGTTCCAGGAGTCTTTTGGAAGTCAGGCCTTTAGCGGTAACATCAGTTGATGCTTGACTATTCGGTTTGGAGATGGATAAAAAAAAAAATCTATATTTTATTCTCCCTCTTCCCCCCGCTCGTCTTAGTATTTATGCTTCTGCTTGTTTTCCCTTTCTGACTCGAGTTTGACTCGAACCCTAAAAACCCCGTCTTTTCATTCGGACTCTTTCTCCAGGGTTCCAAACAGGGCCTGTTTTCTGAGGGACGTCCCCTTCTCAGCCATCTGCTTTCCCTGCTACGCCCACCTGAAGGCTCACCTCAGTGAGGACGACGGAGGCATAGGACCGGCCCAGATGCTGTTGGCTGGAGCACTGGCAGGTAAAATAGTTGGTAGTTTAAGCCTTTAAGAGAAAATGGACTCGTTTGGAGCGTTTCTAGTCTTGGGCAATCATTTGAGAAACGGCCGCGTGTTTCTCGACTATTCATAGCGAGTCACAAAGCTTCGGTCCCTCAGTCAAACGCACAGAGCACTGAAGATAGTAAACTCTTTGTTTTCGGGTCCGGTTTTAGACAAAGTGTGAAAGCTGTTCTCTCGCTCGTCTCGGGCCTGCGAGTAACGGTAGCGGAGCTGGCAGTCTGCGAGTGAGGTCGCCTCCGACCGCAGGCTCCATGGCGGTGGCTGCTCATTAGAGCGCCGCTCAGTGATTGGGGAATGGGTGAGGGGGAGGGAGGGGGGGTTTGGAGCGCCTGAGATCCCTGCCAACCGAGGCCAATCGTAACATATTGGACATGCACAGATGTCTACACATGCAGCATGCATGCCATGCACATGCCTCCCCCCTCCCCCCCCCCATGCGGTGATGCAGCGCTGCCCGCAGGTCACCAGAGTCAGCGAAGAGGCCGAGGAGACAAACATTCGCCTTTGTCCCTCTGCGTGAGGATGCGATCCAAAGAGTTTCAATGTTGGATTTACCCCGGGAGTAAACACTAATAACAGACCGGCACTCCCCCGCCAAGTTAAAAGCCTTTTTTTTTTTTTTAAACATTTGCATAAAAGGCTTAATGTTTGTTTTGAATCGTAGGAGAAGTGTGAGCAGCACTTTCTTTTTGACGCAGAGGCTCAGCACAACACGGGGGAAAAAAATCATAAATCCTGCCTCCTTTCTCCATTTTTACTTTAATTCTCACCACAAGACTGGCAGCCGCGGCCCACAGCTGAAACCAGCCTCATGATTTCTTTGTTTTTTTTCCTATACTTTGACACATTTACCCTCCTTCTTTTCCCATGTATTTATCAGCGGTTACAGCATTCTGGCAATTAGTGTTTTACAGTCAGAACAGGAAATTGAATTACACGCTCAGTTTGCGGGGCATTATTTAGCGAGGCTTTACTCCGATTTGCGAGGAACAGTGTTGGCCATATCGAACTTACACTGATGTGTGCGCGCGGGACATCTTGTCCTTATTCACTGTGAGGTGTAGGCTTTATACATTCACTCTTTTGTCAAGTAAAGTAAGTCTGCATATTAATTAAGAAATAATCTGCAACAGTTTGATGATTGATTGATTATTGTCTGCGTTACTTTTAGGGCAAAAATGTCTTTTATTTGAGTGTTTTCTGCTTTTCTCTGTTTTCTATTAGTGCTAAAGGCTGCGTGATTGGTTACAATATGAAATACCACTGTGCCAAAGTCAAAGTCTTCTATTTCTTAAATATTTGCTCTTTGAGGGTCAGAGTTTCTACATCGGCTCCCACATCGGCTGCTTTCCAGTGAAAGTTGGAGGTTGGAATTTCCAGCTCCCGAGCTTTCCAGCTGCAGCGCGATGCCAAAACGTAAACACAACACATGGTCGCCTGTGAGAAACTGATGTTTCTTTGACAAGCACACACACGATCGATCCTTCAGCAGCAGAGCCTCTTCGCATAATAAAAACTACACTCGTTTTCCAGAAGATCCAGTTTTTACTGCGTGATAGAAAATACCGCTGTACGTCGCGTTTCAGTTGGTTTTTCCATTGAAGTCACACAACTGCTTCTTCTTTGTCTCCATTAATTAACACTTAACACTTATTTCCACCACATCTTTCTCAAAAAAAAGCTACAAAAAGAGGGGTCCCCCCCCCCCCCCCTCTCTCTCTCTCCTCAGCTCAGTGCAGGTGGTCAGTCTCCGCCGGGTGCCAGTCCGCTACCTAAAGCTGAGTTGATTAGGCTCGCTGAATAGCTCGTTTTGGCCGCTGCAAAAACCACAAAGTCAGAATAAATCGTCAAGAGGGCAGTTGATGGTAATGACGGAGCCATCAATGATTGAGCCCATTCATGGCTGAAGTGGCTGGAGTGGGGGCCTCGCAGTCGCTCCCTTCAGTCAGGCAGTCACTTTCACGGCCACGCGGGTCACAGTGTGCATTGCTCTCATTACCATCCATTGTCTGGCCCCCGTTGAAACGGCTGTAAGAAAAGTGGGAGAGGGAGGAAAGGGAGAAAGAAAGGTAGAGATTAAATAATGGCCTCGCTGGTGGTATGGATTTGTTGATGGTGAAGCCGTGGAAACGGGCCCCTACTTGTGTGCGCCGCATGTACGCGGCAGACTCGCTGCAAGATGGTCAAGATCCAAGATGACGTGTTTTAGAAGAGGAGACAAAGGAGGCTGAGGCCACTTCATCAGATGCAGTTACGACGATATGCAAAGACTTTCGTTCGGCCGCCTGGCGGCAGCTTTCTACGATCGTCGCGTTTGTCGCCGTATTTAGTATCAAACACATCCGACTGTAATAATAATAATAAAAGCTGGCTTGACCAAACAGCTCTTCTTCTCCACAGGCATGCCAGCAGCCTCTCTTGTGACCCCGGTGATCAAAACCAGGCTGCAGCCTAAAAGAGAACGATTGTTTTTTTCTCAGCTAATATATATATACACATTTTTTTACATCATTTTAACGTACCATAATATCAATATTTGTTTTTTATACATTTACATAATTGTCATTTGAAGGTATGTAGAAGTACTCATTTGCAACAAATATTCTCACTTTTTTGTTTTCTGAAGTTCCATTCACTTTTTGCAGGTGACCTTCAGTTTGCTCAGAAGCTGTAGGCGGGGCTTATTTTCCAAAACGTGTCATAATTGGCCTGCCTCGAACGTATCATCCAAGTCTACATGAAAAGAAACAAACAAATCTCTACTCTGTCCTGCAGCTCGTGTGTTCAGATCCTCGCCTCAGTTTGGAGTGACCTTGGTGACCTATGAACTCCTGCAGCGGAGGACGGTGAGTCCCGCGCTCCTCACGAGACGAGCCTTTTCTATGTCGTCACTGTCACCACTGGATTCTCAACCAACACTTTCCCTAATCTACCAGTGAAACAGCATTTCTGCATCACAACGGCTGCGCGTCGTCGTGCACGTCCTCCCTTCCACAGAGAAATTCCACAAGACCCAAAATAATGTTCATACACTCAGTGAATAGGTCACTCAGGAATAATTCAGTCACTTTATGAAGCCAGAGAGGTCGAGTGCGGAAGAGAGGAGGAGAAGCCTCGCAGGACGACTGAGAAGTGCAGCTGTGTTGCACATGCATGTCACTGGATGGCTTCATGGCTTTTTGCATGTTGCTCCCTCTCTCCCGGAGGCTCGCAGTCAAACAAAAATCATCTGCGGATCCAAAGACACTTTTTTGGGGGGGGTTGGTATCATGCGAGCAGATCCGTGCATTGCTGTTAGTGTTGGCGTCACATCACAAAGCTCCACGTGAGATCAATGAGGGATTTGACTTGTTCTGCTGTTGCATTTCAGATTTTCTATCGAGAGGCTCATGTCTGCGGTGAACGGAGTCGAACACGATCTAAATTTACGATTTAATAACTGTGATAAAACTCTTGTCTGTGCACGCTCACTCTCTCACGCTGCGTTTGTTGTTTCCCCCCCCTTTTAACTCTCACCACTCCTCACCTTTCCCGCCATCTTCCTCCATTATTCAACGCTCTCTCTCTCGCGGTGCCTCTCCCCCACCCCCCCCAGCCTCGCCCTCTCTCCCCCTCTCCCCACACCACAGAAAGCCGGCTGGCTCAGAGCCCACCCCGAAGTCTCGGATCAGCCTGCCGGCGCCCAACCCCGACCACATCGGGGGCTTCAGGTTGGCCGTGGCCACGTTTGCTGGCATTGAGCGCCGGTTCGGTCTCCATCTCCCACGCTGCTCGGTGGCGACGGCGGCAGAGGCCCCCGATGAGAGAGCCCCCCTCAACCTCCGTGGTTAAAGGGAGAAAGGGGGGTGGTGGGGTATATGAGCAAGATGGGGCTTGTATGATAAGTTGGTACATGTAACCATACGGACTAGTGAGCTGATTCCAGAGGGCGCTTTGTGGCACTCGGACTGTAAACGTTTCTCTCTGACGCCGTATAGAGCTGTATTATAACGTGGGTATGTCTTTCATACGGTGAAGTTTAAACACGCCCGAGCTGCTTGCTTTTCTTGGAATATATTATCAAACACTACATACAGTTACAGCTTTTGTGTGATGTGTACATATGAGAAATCCAGGGATGAATATTTTAATATCCATAGACATTTTTGTTAATAGTGCTCATTTGATCATATTCCTCCACAGATATGAGCAAAGATGACTTGAATGTACACAACGCTCCCTGTGAGATGTTTGGTTTCACCGCTAAATGTATGCAGATGTTTAAATCTCAGACAGCTGGCATCCACTGCCGTTCTGAGTTGTGTCACGACTAAGTATTAGAAATGTGTACAGTACAGAGCATGTAGGAGTTACACGCGGCGTGTGATATTCCTGCCTCACTGTGCGTATGGCAGCAGCATGTGGACGAAGAGACTTCTGTTGTTCCCGATGTACGCTGGAGCAGTTCTGCTTTGTGAGGGGAAAGAAAGACAGACAACAGTTCAGCAGCTGGGCTTTAATAGTAAACACAACACGTCTAACAGCCAGCACTCTGCATCACAATACGTCTCTGGATAATTCACTGTTTGTTAAATATGAACGTACTCTTGTTCAGAACAAAAGACAAAGTGCGTCACCATGATGACTCTTCAGGAAGGTGTCGCATGCAGGCAGAGTACACAGAAAAGAAGCACAACATAAAGTCAACATGACGTTTTGTAAACAATACACGACTAGTCTATGGAACCTGCAGAACTTTTAGGATAGTGCAAAACATCGTCACAGTACAGACATCTTCATAAGGCTATAAGACCGCCACTTCCTATATACAGTACGCTCACGCGGCGGAAAGAAAGAAATCGGTGACAGCTTAACCATAAACAGACATTTGACAAGTCCCCAAAACGAACGTAAAGGGGACGAAAGAAAACTACACTGGTTTGAGACACACATGCTACAGTGACGCCGATGGCGCCACCAGGCGGGTGTACTACGAAGCGACTTAGCAACATAGCACGGCCACAACCTAAACCTCCAATCAGCGATGATGGGCGGCGCGTCGACGCACATCAACTGTCGTCGTTCACCCCCGTCTTCTTCGTCGGGCTCCATGAGCTGCAAGGAGAAGTGGATCGATAGCGGCCGGACGTTTTGATTGCATCGAGGCGTGAAAAAGGACCAGCGGGAAATCAGAAAGCAGCGTATATATGATATGCAGTGTGCAAAGTAAAGGTTTAATATTACCGGGAACAAATGGATGCATGAAGGGAGTGGCTCTTGTGTTCCCCCGAGGCTTCAGTGATGTAATGTGTGATTTTACAGAGAGCTTCTTTTTCAGCGAAAAGCCAGAGAACACAACGACATATTCAGCAGTTGAGAGCGCACGAAAAACCCGTGAATGTTGGACTCTGGCCGACGCGTGGGCATCCAGCTCGGTTGACCCAGAGCGATGTTCATGACATTGAAAACTCAACATACGTGGCAGACCCCTCCATCTTTGCTTCATGGTGCACCCCCGTGGTCTCGAATCCCCTCCTCTTCGGTGTCAGAGTCCTGCTCTATGAAGCCAGCTCCAAAGGCCCCTCCTCCTCGCCGTCGGCTCGGTTGGCACGAATCTCCATCAGGGTACGAGCGAAGCGCCCCCAGTCATCGGTGTGAGTCGCTGACAGCTGTGAGAAACATCAAAGACGACACAGGTAACGTGGTATTAAGCCCTGGATGGACACGTCTGCGCGCTGGGGAGACGCTCCTACTGTCCCGGCTCATTGTGAAACCCAAGCGTCCTCTCTGAGGATGCATGGGCATCTTTTCACTCGGGAGATATTATATGATTTTGTCATGTTTCATCGGTTTTGTAATGACAAATGGTTCACGTTCTGTCATTAACGCTGGTATCGCTAGTTAGCGTTAGCGCTCTTGGTTGCTAGAAGAGAAGTCAGAAGAGCATCGAAATCATTTTCATTCATCCACTGGGGACAATCCCATCAAATAGATGTTGGGATATTTCAGTCTGCTGCTGGCTGCACTGATCACAGGGCTCACGCAGGATGTCAAACTGGAAGTTCTTTATACGTTCAGCAGCAGCGCTGCATCGTGGGAGTCAGAATGAGTGGGACAAAAGCTGCGGCTGCCACCCAAGCTGCCTGTAAACGGCTTTGAATGGCTGGGCTGTAATTAAACAGGAACCAGGAGGAGGGAAGCAGCCATTTTGATCCCCCCCCCCCCCCCCCGCGCCCCCACCGAGCCTACAGGGGCTCGGCTGGCCACAGCAGGGAGTTCTGCCTGAACGTTGTGTATACGGTGCATTTACCGCTAGCAGCCATATTTTAACAGACTCCAAGAAGCGTCGCTGATGGATCAGTGCAGTCAGGCTTCAAAAAGCAGGTCACAAAACCTTTCACGGCGTGGACCTACATTCAGAGGACAACTTTTGGTTTTATCCCATTTGCAGCTTTCTGGAAGACTTTTGTTTTGGACTTTCCATCCAAAACTGGTAAATGACCATTCAAAAAAAAATCCCAAACCCTGCTGAACTGGAGTGTACCGAGTAAAATACTGCTGAAATAAAACTATTTTGCCTTCCTAGGACCATGTCAAGGGTCACTGTGGGCCCGATGTTTGCATTGAAGTAGAAACCTCCAACTTTACTACGACACACACACACGCACCTCATCATAGAACCTCCCGACCCGGCTCACTCTTATGACGGCTCTTTGTTACCATTTACCCGTCGTAGAGGCCACCAGCTCGGCTCAGCCTCTCTCCCACTAACCGCGCAACAAAAAAGATGCTAAAATTAACCCAGCGGCTCGGGGAACCCGACCAGAGCACTACAATGTACTTTATATACTTCAATGAGTTTCCACCTGGTTGTTAAACTGTCTCAATGTAATATTGATGCCTCCATCACCAACAGAAACAAAAAAAAGACCTTCAGCAATAGTTCTACTGGATAAAAGCTCCCAGCAAATTCAGACAAGATGAGCCGGGCAGAAGAGCCGACGCTCACATTCTCAGCTGCAAGTCTCTGTGGCATGTTGCCAATTTGCAGGCCCGTATGGGATTTTTTACTTTGTGGTTTTGGCTGATTCTGAGGCAGGGTCAAAGAAGAGAAAAATAATTGACCACACAAGGAAAAAAGAAAAAAAAGAAAAAGGTACAATGAGCTCATGTGAAAACAAGAGCCAGACCTATTTGTTCCTTCAACAGATGGAGAGAATTGCAGGATTAGAAAGGATCAAAAGCAATCCTCAATTGGTCCTCCTTACTGGTATGTAATCACTCTACTGTATTTCTGTAATATGTCGACTGTATTTTTGTAATACGTCGATGTACGTGTATGTATTTTTGCTAGTATTTCCTGAAAGGCAGTGAGTTTCCGCTTTAATGTCTTACGTCATTCATTCCACGTAAAACAACGCAGTGACTAACTACCTCTCCAGTATCGTAGATCCACACTCGGCCTTCAGAGTCACCCACAGCCACCTCCTTTCCCCCCGTCGACCAGCGCACCCTGTTGAGGGCCGACGCACCCTCAATCGTCACACTGGCAGTCGGTACCTGGTGAACAGATTAAACAAATGAAAAATGTTACATTTATTTACCGATATTGCAAACTGGTATAGATATATACTGGGATGTATAATTAGCAACAAAAAGAGACAGGGAAGTGGAAAGACCTTTTGGAACTCAATCCTGTTTTGGAGTATAAATACTGCAAATTGTGGACTTTTGAAGTAAATCAAAATACAGTCCCCCAAGAAGTAGTATAACATGTCAAAATGAGTTAACCAAGTCACAGTAAAGCATGTTGAAAAAAAACATGATTATATGTCAAATGTGAGGTTAGTCTAGCACAACTTCTCAATATCAACACAGTGCTATTTACTGTATAATACAGTAACTGCACCCAGGTTTGTTATTGTGGGTAAACAGCAGTGCTCCTGTTGCACCTTCAAAAATCCTAAAACCATCTGCAACGTTTCCAGAAACTGCTCCTGACATGTGGCGGGCGAGTCTGACGCACGTCGCCAGTGGAGACAGAGGACTTGGCATCCCGTCGCCTCGCACACCGAGCTTCTGGGTATTCAAAGCGGCGCTAACCACAGACGGACTGCCATTAGCCTGCTAGCTCCCACTGCTCCGCCCGAGTGGATCTGAACTGAGCGCTTTAAATTGGCTGTATACGTCTGCGTACGTGTGCTGGAAATGAGAACCAGGCGTCGTGCTGCTCCGTTAGTGTCGCTATGGTTTTATCTTTTTTTTTTTTTTGTGTGGCGGTCTGTGTCTATCAGACTCACTGTGTGATGTGCATGCGTCCGGTCCATCCGCCTGTGTGTGTCTGAGAAAAATGTTTCTCATTGTTGCACATTGTTAGCCAAGTTAGGCTGTCAATAATGAACTCTTCCTCTGTGAAAAGGCCGCTGTTGAGGGGAAGCATTGGGAAATTGTCCTCTGTGCTGCAGGGGGAAGACTGAATGCCAGTGATGGAAGGAGAGAGATGAGAGCAGACGGATATATAACAGAAGATCCTGATGAGGAGTGAGTTTTAGATGCGGACCCTACGAAGGGGTTGAAAGAAAATGAAGAGGACAGTGAAAGGGCATCACGACCGAGGGAAGAGAGCATCGGTAGAGATGAAGGCACTGTCGGTGTTGTCTCCATGGAAACCAAAAGAAAAGGAAAATGGAGGAACCTTTTTATCCAACTTTAGTGATCAAAGGTTTGGTTCCATTCTCCAATCTCAGTTGAAATAAGGTATATATATATTTATTAGAATCATGGAGACATTTCTTCTCTATAATGCAATTTTTTCTTCCTTGAAGGGATAGTTAAATATCTTGAGAGAGACAGTTATTTTTCTCCAAACTGTAAATATTTGGTTCATGATGAAGATCATTCATCTGAGATTATTACTGTTTTGGAATAAAAAGGTATGCAATTTATTGATTTTCATTCCGTAAATGGCCTCAAAGCCTCTCAACCCAAAATAAATGGGTCTTGAGGTCGTCTGTACGTTGGACAGAGGTCACAGGAATGTAAGCGGAACGTCTGGGTGGGAGCCGAGACGCGGAACTGTCCCCCAGTTTGATTTAAAGCGAGGGCTGTGTGAAACGCCCACAGGGGAAACTTGAATTGTGTGTTTGTGTGTGTAGGGAGAGACGTGAAGGGGTTGGTGGTGGTGGTTGGGAGGTGACGGGGTGATGGGGAGGGAAAAGGCTTGGGTGTTTGGTTGTGCGGTTCGGGCAGAGGCCCAGCAGCTGGCCCTGAGGACACCAAACACACACACACACGCATCAACACACAAAGAGATAACACACTCATAATGACCTATTTTAACCTAGCAGTGCCCCCCATCCCCCCCACACACACACACCTCGGTGTCATTGTTGAGGTTCCACAGGTCCAGGCGGCCCATGCCGTCCACGGCGGCGAAGGTTGCAGGGTGCACAGGCGACCACATGACGTCGTACACATAGTCGGCGTTGTCCTCAAACGAGTACAGAGGCCTGTTGTGCTGAAAGAGAGCGAGAGGGGAGGTTATCTACGGACGAGCGCGTGTGCACGTGGAGAGAGGGGACGAGCGTCGGGGATTACAGAAGATGACACAATGGAGACGGAAAGGAGAGAGAGACAGACCGAACGGAGAGAGGGAGTGAGCGAGCTTCAGACAGAGTGGCGCTGCCTCAGCCTTGGGGCCTGTCTGGGTGCAGAGCCTAATTAAAAAGCCTTGCACATTCACACAGCGCCATAAAACCGCTGGGAAAGATGAAAGGGAGGGCCCCTCCACAAGGTGTACTGTAACCTCAGCACAACAGCTGTCTGAGTGCGAGAGAGAGAGAGAGGGAGGGAGGGATGGGAAGAAAAGGGCATCAGCAGATGCCAGTATTTGAAACAAAAGTTATTTCAGAAGAATAATAAAACAAACTTGTCAGTGGTCTCTGGTGGACAAACCTTCTTAAAGGGGACACAGTTTCTAGACTTTTAAGCGCAGTTAATGTCTGAAGGCCGCTGTTGTGCTGCTATTAAAGACGCCATTTAAAATCAAATGTGTGTGGGAAAAACACCCTTATGCGTGTGTGTGTGTGTGTGTGTGTGTGTGTGTGTGTGTGTGTGCCCAGTAGGATTCCAGAGGCTCACAAACTGCATTCCTGACAGGTAGTGAGGAGACAGGTTGGCTGGAAGAGCAAATGAAGGAATGTAGCCCCTCTTTCTCTCTCATTCCGTCTCTTTCTCTTCATCACCTTTACTCTTTCACTCCACAGTGGCTCTGAAAGGTTGTGCGACCTGGAGACAGATAGCGGTGCACACTCCAGCACACACAAACAAACAGAGCTGAGCCAATTTCAAGCCTCGATTGAACCTGTTTTCTAGCCGGCGGGGTGACAGCGGAGGTCCTTTTTCTCAGCATTCGATCAGCTGAGCGATTCCTATTTATGTTCTCTCTCTAGTTTTAGTTTCTGCCCCCATTTTGCAACCATACTCATCCTACCGCTTTTATTTCGCTCTACCCAAATGCATTTCAAATGTAATTTCATTGTGACGGCTGAACGGCGCCTCTTAAGACGAGAGCTGTTACTAAATATAAATATGTCAGGGGGACTATTACTTACTGACTTGAGTCAAAAGACAACACTCGGGAGAAATATTTAGATTGATATTTGAGACTAAATAGGATAAATGATGAAAAATATATTTGACAGAAGATTAAGCACAAATGCTGACAGTCATACATCAAATAAAAGTCCCGGTGTGTGTAAAGTACTATTTGACTGGAAGATATCAACAATCTACCATCTCAAAAAAGGTGATTTGGGTAAATAATCTGCAGCAACAAAAGCTTTAAACTAATCTCAAAATCCTAGTGGCGCCGCTCGTGATGTAACTGGTTGTCAATATCTTTCCTGTGCAAAGCTGGGGAGTTTCTGGCACGTTTGAACTAGAGAAGCATTACACTGAATACTGATAGTTAGCATGAATGCCACGTTTTAAAATGGACCGATGCGAGCGAAAGATTTAACATTTGAGATGTTGGCGCTAAATTATGCATCAGTCTTTTGATATTGCTGTAAAAATCAAATAAAATCCCAAAGACGTTGTACAACCTATAACAGACTTTTTGGGCCTTCAACACTTTGATCAAAATCCTAGATTATATAAGCACACACTGAGGGGACGGAGGTGCTGTCAAGAGCTCGGTTTCCCTTTCAGCGCAAACACGCTCGTTAACAATCACGTGCGTCGACTGCGACGGAGGCCTTTAATTAACTGCGGAGAAAAAGCGGAACAATTATTAGATGCTGGTTTTGGGGTCGAGAGGGCAGGACTGCTCAAGTCATGCACAATCACAAGCCCACTCGCAGCTGTCGCGACGTCCTCGCTCTCCGAAATGTTTCCACATATTTGCCGCGCGCTTCTGTTGCGACGGCCTTTTTGAACTTTTGAGGGCCGGCGTGAATGTGGAGAGAGATGCGCGCCTGTGTGCTGCGACGCGTGGGTTTGGGGGCAAACCTCAGGGGGGGGACTTTAGGAAAGCAAAGGCAGCTTGCTTAAAGTGCATGTGAGGCATATGTGGTGGGTATATATTTGCACACGCACACACACACACACACACACACACACACACACACACACACACACACACACACACACACACACACACACAGTCAGGTATTCCGCCGCTGCCCACACACAAATATCGGTTTTGTGGGATAAGAGACAGACACACATTCCTGCGGTTCCCCCTGAAAGCAAAGGGAATTCCCAAATCCTGAAAAATAACACACTCTTCTAAAGAAAATCCACAGAAATGTTTTAATATGTGTCGCGGGACCCTTGGCAGACTCATGGAGTAACTGCGTGCAAACATGAGCTAAAACTCATCAGTGCTGTGCTGCCTGTCACGTTCGAGTAGGAGAGCTGTAACTGGATCTCGCATAAAGTTGGAGGTATTATGCAATATGCATTATGCATTCTGCTCACGTTGAGCAGGTCTCTTTGAGGTCTGCCCGTGTTTGCTGTTTGACGCCCTGCTCGTGTTGATCCCTCTGTCCTTCAACGTCAGCATCGCCTCCATAATTTCTCTTAAAACGCCTCCCGGCACTTTTCCCCACACTGACTTTTCTATCCATTTTCCGCTCTCCCACTATTCCTTCTCCTTCCTTCTTTCTGTGTATAAATCTGCAATGTTGTGGTATTTGATCTATTTGATTTGAGCCATTCCTTTAACTTTTGTCCTTTCCTACTAAGAACAATTGATTCTTGACTTTATACATTCTCCAATGTTCCGCTTTCTTCTTCTAACTTGTTCCTCGTTTCAACTCCACTCATTTTATATGAATGATACAATGAATATTCTCTGATTATGATCTCAAATGCCTTCTCCTGTGCAGTATCTCAGACGTAGCTGAGTGCACCGCCATGCATCGCAGCATCATCATGAAAGTCTGCTTGAATCTATTATCCAATTCTTTGATTCTCCAACACTCATTTTGACAGAAAACAGTGACAGTTGTATTATTGCCGCTGATCTTCTGTCAAAGCGGCATTCCTTGCAGCGGATTTGAAAAAACAACAAATGCCCCGAGTGAACGAGGTCACTCAAATGCATTTAAGATCCTATTCGGTTCCTAGAATGCTGCTTTTTAAACAATAATCAAAAGGCTGAAGGTCATCGCAGTGAAAGAGGCTTGGATTCTGAAACAAGAGGAGAAAATGATGTACATAAAGACATAAATCTTGATATTTATGTGATATTATTCTCGATAAAGGTGTGTATCAAGATAGAGCTATATTATTCAAGCTACAATATCTCTATAAAGTACCTACATCGTTTTGGATACTTTTGTTTAAATACTAGACAAATGAAAGTACTCAGTATTTTCATCAAATATCAGAGGTGAGTTAGTATGTGATGGTTATCATCAATCTTGATACACGTTTTAAAGGGGATGTTTTGCTCTGTGTCAGGCCCCCCAGGCGTACCTGTTCTGTGCCTCTAAAACTAAAGCATTGCAGATCGTACTGCCAAATTTCCATCGAAAATATGTATATAATATCACAAAACCTTTTTCTAACTCCCTCTAATGAGGGGATTCACACCTCTGCAACTCTTCAGGTCCTAATTGTGTCACTCTACTATTGTATAATCAACTGACACACAGAAAGGAACCCGACTCCCACGCAGAAAACAGTTTCTTATAAAAAATCCCCCCCTCCCCCCACACTAGTTTATTCTCCCTCTCAGATTTCTCTCACACATATTTTCCACAATCAACCCCCCACACATCCTCTCTCTCACGTCCTCTCACACACACACGCCTACCTTGGTGCTCCAGAGTTTGACGGTCCAGTCGAAGGAGGACGTGATGAAGAGGTGGGAGAAGTCGACGGTGCCCACTGCGCTGTGGCAGCTGATGCCCGTCACCGGCCCCTGGTGGCCCTCGAACATCTCGCAGATACCCGCCTTGCTGCGGGGTGACGACAAAGACCACAGTACTCAGCTCTGCAGGGTTTCAGTGGTCTTTACTCGATGAATACATAGACGTGGGTTTTCCAAAATGAGATTCCTTTACAGATGCGCGTTTTGTAATTCCAGGAAAACTTTCTTCTCAGTTTCATTTGCTTCATTTACTTTGTAAATGTATATTTTTGGGGCAATTCTCGATTATGGAAGCAAATCAATTAAGGCAACAAAACTCCATCCAAACACGCTGGAGTGATCCAGCAAGGAAATGTCTGTGATCTTTTCTCTGTGTGGGTGTGTGTGTCCACCAACCTGCCGTGTCTGGATGCAGTGTACACAGTGCCCTCCTCACTCCCGACCACATAGTTGTTAACATCTCCCGTGGGAAAAGCCATGCCTGTCACCGCTACGGGTTTGGATTTATTGTATACCAGCTCCATGGACTCCTAGTTCAAACACACACACACACACGAAGAAGAACTCATGTGAGCCCATATAGAGTACACATTCAAACCACGCGCGTGTGTTAGGTGATGTTCCGGATGTGGTGTACCTGTGGCTGGGAAAGCATGTCCAGACTCCAGGAGCACATCCGGCCGTCTGTGGACACAGTGATCAGGTTGTTGGCGTTCTGTGTGCCGACCACGTTCACGCAGTACACAGGGTGCTGCACGCACATAGAAAGAAGGAAAAAGACACACGTGGCACGTGAGTGAGACGGGTGGGGATGCACGGCTGCATAACAGGGCAGATAATGCTTTCAGTATCTAGTAACTTCGGTTAGCTTGAGTCCTCAATAAAATATTTCACATTGCACTTCACGATATCATAACAATCATGAATTCTTTATTTATCTCATTGATTAGAGGCAATACGTATTTCAGCACATTTGACATTTAACATAATAAATATTTGGAGGACACAGCACATTTCAAATAATTTCCTAATGATAATCAAATTAGATTTTTACCCATGAGCCTGACATGATAATGTAATTTTATCCTTAAACACATGAGAATTAGTACAAATCCACATGCTTGCATGCCAGTGTGCACTGTGTTCCTTACAAGAGGAGTGTGTGAAACCACTATGTCATTACTGGGCAGTAATTGATTTGTGTGCTGTGCCGCACAAAGAGTCCATTCAGCAATCAGCACCATGCGAGCTGGATGGACCCACTGACTGGAGAAGACGGGAGGGTGATGTGTAGCAGTGTGTGTGAGTGTGTATATGCCGTGACCATAAGCAGCCTGAGGTATTGCTGGTTTGTACTAGAGTGCAGGTGTGTGTGTTTCTATCGTGGAGATCAGTGTCAAAGCTGCAGCGTTATCATGTAAAAAATGTAATCATGGTATTTATTTGGCATTTCACTGAATCCGATTTGTTCCGCATCATAATTTCATAGGGCCATTGATGATGTCTTAAAATAGCCTGCTTGGTCTAGAAAATCAACATTCAGTAATATCAGATATTTAATATTCAATTCAACATTAAGATATTCAACTTTTAGACAAATTTAGAAAACTGGACCTAGCTAAACAATTGCCAATTTCTCTCAATCAACCAATCATCAAATAATTAAATAAAGAAAAGAAACTTGAAAAATGAAGAAAGAGTTTGGAAATCAAGGCACGGATCTGATATTTTTCTTTTGTAAATGTGTCAAAACTGTTGTGCTGGACTGCGTGTCTTACAGTGTGAGCAGCGGCAGACAGAGGAGTCCTCTGGACGGGCGTCCGGCGGTGACTGCGGTTGTCCCACAGGACGATTTGTCCCGAGTAAGTCCCGCCCACAACCAGGTTGGGATGAAACCTGGCGAAGCCCACCGATACCACTGGAGACTGCAAGACGAAGGCAGGGGATGAGGTTACATACGCCACTTGCTTTACTTTATCTTTGAACTTGGACCAGGGGACACGGCGAGGACAGAAGCGGTCGCAGGCGGCGAGAAAACAGCTAAAACAAAGAAAGATACAAAGCGGTAACGCGAGACGGAGCGCGGGTCGGGAGCCAGTGATCAAGGCGCCGCGATGGGTGGCGAGCACCGGGACAGCGGGCGGAGAGCGAGATGATGAGTTTGCCGGCGGCCGGGGGTCCGCTGAGCAGAGGACAGAGGGGTGACGCTGGGGCGGAGACCAGACAAAGAGGGGAATTGTAGTTCTCTTGCCGCCGGGCGTTTCACATTACAGCATCAAAACCCTGGCGGCCACTGGAGCGCTCACTGCGGCCTCCGTCGTGACGAGCGCACCCTTGAACTCGCTCCCTGCCCAGTGGCGTGTTTATTGGGTCTTGGTTCCTCTCCGCTGCTCGTCTCATATGGGCTTCCTTCAACCAGAACCACTGAACCGTCTTCACTGCGGGGGGTTATGAAAAAATGCTTCAGCGTTATATTGTTACGGGAGGGTAAAGTGGTGTTATGGACGGTCAAAATCACCCATCCATCCATCTAGCGAAGCTGCAAAATCCTCCTTCGCCGGCGAGACGCGGCCAGAAGAGCGTTGCACAAGGAGCTGGCGGACACGGGTTTAAACGCATGAAACAGGCGTTGTTGCCCAACATGGTCGTGAACTTGTCGGCAGACCGTCGGTGAGTTTTAGTGTTGTAACGTTTCGCTGTATTTATTAAGTATTAACAAGACAACATTACACTGACATTAAAGTATTCATCTTAGCATGTTGCAAGAACTATTTGTGTCTTAATTAAGTGAAAGAACACGTTGGTCGATTCGAGGTATCTGTCGTGGTCTACACGCCCCCCTCATGACCGTTTGAAACCCACTGACGTTGACAAATGAAGTATTAGTGAAGAATACGGCTGCTGGAGGACATACATATACATACATTGCTTTGGGCACGGGGCACTAATGTGCCAAATATGTAGGTGCGGCCGTTACGGTAGTTTTGGGGACCAGCCGGTAGGAAATCATTACAAGGCATTAAGTATAAGATTTGTTTTATTTTTCTCTTCTTTTTTTGTATTCCTGTGCCGAGCGCTCCCCCTCTCTCTGTCCCTGCCACCACATCATGTGCTAGGCGGCCAACTCCAAACCCCAATTCGTTTTAAAGGCAGACTGGAAAACAAACCAGAGGGAACGAAAACACTGCACAGTCTTTGACTTTTTTTTTGTTTCTTCTGTGGACTGCAGGCAGAGCGGCTCGGCAGTCGCTTCACATGTCGCGACTCAAAATAAACTCAACTTTGGTGGTAAAAATAAAATCCCTCGTCAGCCGGGAAAGAGGCACTCTCGGGAAAAAAAAAAAGTTCATTTACAAAGTTAAGTGAAAGGGAATCAGGGATTTTGGTCTATTAGTGCGTATTAACAGCATCATTTACATTCCATATTGTGTATGTGGCTTTGTCAGATATATTCAATATGTTATATTTGCTGTAAAAGCAGATAAAATAGTATTAAATGTAAAAAAAGCTAGAAATGGACGAGCAGAACTCGTGCCCTTTTTTTTCATAACTCATGGACAATTGAAGGAAAATGTTGCTCATCTGGCACTGGTGTGTGGATACCAGAAGTATTAAAAAAAAACGACTCAAATTTCAAGACAAACGCTCTCATACTCAAAGACACATTTGACCACTTCTTCTAACACACAAGAGTTTCTGGATGACCTTTGCACTCTGCGGGCTGCAGTCTGAGGTCTTTCAGATTGAAGGAAGCATAAACAACGTATAAAGAGATAAATATTTCTTTGTTCTGAATGAATGCAACAAAAATGAAATACTGTTGCTCCCGCTAAAAAGAAAGAGGCTACCAGCATCGACTTGGCTTCAGGTTTTCTCCGTCGCCAGGGTCTATGCTACGCTCAGCTAAATTCAGTTATGCTGCTCAATAACTCCCTTAACACTGTATTTTTGCTACATCATCACTCTGTGGAAGCTCATCTTTATGCGATAAGAGATAGAAACCACATATCTTAGTCCATGTGGTACTCCAGATTGTTCCAATTTAACAGTATACTACCTGAAATACCTTTAAACTACAGAGACAGCCCGTCTCTTTGATCCTTCCAGGAAAGATGCACGTGACCATATTGTGTTTCACTATCAACACCATCAAAATGATGTCTGAGCAAACACATAAATTCACAAACACACAAATGGAAAACATCCCCGCTCCCTTCTCTCTTCCTTGTCATTCTTCCTCCGGTTATCACGCTAAATGCACATCCCAACCCCCACGTGAGTAATGACAACGAGGAGCCAAATCAAACCAAGGGCCCCTCTATTGGCTCCATATGTTAGTTTAACTCCTAAGCCCTATCCGTGTCCCCATCTTAAGAGGAAAAGTCCCGACTAAACCTCTCCTTAAGAAACCACACGTTCTGCCATCATCCCCCTCTGGTACTGTCAGGCTCAGTGAAAGAGCTACTGAAAATGATCCCGGCTTTGTGCCGCTGGTGCACTTTGAGGCGCCTGCCAGCGCCGAGCTTGGACTTAACATAAAAGCCGTTCCCCCTTAAATGCTTCTAATCAAAACGTCACATCAGCACACGTGTTCTGGAGCACTATGCCCATTACGTGTACGGAATGAAATAAGATCAATTTGTCCCGCACTGTAAGGAGGTTTATGATTTAAGCTCAAGGGGAATTGGTTGACACTCTAGAGTGGATTTCCAATTTCAATGTCATGTAGGAAATTAATGACCGAGTTTAGAGCTGAATTATGGGCCGTTGGGTCTCGGCTGTATTTCTGTCTTTTTATTCATTGGCGAACATATACAAGATATATGATTCATCTCACTGTGCAAACACGACTGTAAAGCTGAAATTCTGATTTAAAATAAAGCTTCACACTCAGATTGGGCATTTATATTAGCAATCTTCCAACTAACTCTTAAAGAAGCAAATCTCAAACCTTTCCCTCAAATCAAATACAACCACGCTCCTCCCACACCCCTGTGGCTCCTCCTCCTTTCAGATTGATCGACCACGCTCACGCATATCGAGTGCGACACGATTGCTAACCTGCCGTTTCATTTTCAAAACGCGGTGGCGGCGTGGATGGTTCTCGTCCCCTGCCAGGCCGGACGGATGGGGACGGAGGGGACGTGGGGGAGTGACAGCTCCCGGAAGAGAACGCAGCGGCGAGAGTCACTCCGGCGTATTAGGGGCCGAGATGAAAACTGTGGAAGTTTCACGGGGCGGCGCTCCTGCAGCCGGAACGCTGGGTCTCGTTTCTCTCCCCGGGCGAGGGCTTTGCAGTGCTGTTTGCGTGTGCGCGCACAGTATCGTCTGCCACATCTTGCATAGACTCACAAGGCTAAGTGCTTCTGGCAGCCCTCATTATAGCGATGGGAAGTGTTCTGCGGAGGATAATACACACATGTAGGCACTGATGAAAGATGGCACCCAGCGAGGGATCGGGGTGCTTCGAAGGAATGACTGAAAGAGAAGAAAGAAGAGGCAAGAGAGCTAGAGAGGCAAACACTCCCTCCTTTGTTGCCTCCTCCTCCCTTTTCGTTCTCTCCTCGGGCAACAAACTGTTGCTTAAGTTGGCTCGGGAATGCAGAAATGGAGCAATCGTGCTATGGTGAGAAGAAAGAGGTGGGTGGTGGGGGGGCTGACAGTGCACGCCAGCGAGTATATGCGCCCAAGTAGATCCATGCTCCTTCCCTCCCTCACCGCACTCATCTGTTTTCCACTCTGCCTTATCGGGACCAGATGGATCCCAGTGTCTTCCCCTCGCATCCCTGCTTCTCAACTTCCCCCTTCCTCTCAACCACCTTCCTCCTCCCTTTCTCCCCCCCTGGCTCCACTCGTTTATGACACCCCACGGATTTTGTCACTGCGGTTTCAGGCATAGAATGAAGCTTTGCCAGAGCAAATGCAGGAGGAGGAGGCTCGAGGAAGACAAATAGGCCTTTTTCTGCCTCCTAGAGCCCCAGTCCCTTGTTTCCCAAACTTGTTTGTTTGTTTGCTTGTCGGATTGCTGGTCCGTTGCTTTAATTTGTATTGTAAATAGACTTGTTAGACCATGTAGTGATCTTTTCTATTCTGGTACTGACTTCTTCCTTCTACCTTTATATAGACGTTAATAATACCACACACACTGTGGAGATGTCAAAAACTAGATCAAAGATTCTGTACGGATACCAAAACAACACTCATTTTGAGCTGGGTTTGGAGAAACTATGCTTCTTAGGTTTCTTGTTGTACCATAAGCGGACTGGATGAAATTCCTTTACCATTTCCCTAAAACATTGAACTCTTACTAATTGTGCTGAACTGCTGAACGGAGCAGTATTGAATAAAGAACACTGGCTAGTTTAAATGAAAATGTTCCCCGACTCAGATCAGATACCAAAGGATTTGACCAGGAGTCGTAGAAAATAAATTGAAGCTACCGCACAATTCAACACTATATTGTTTTTGCCAGCAGAAGAAGCGCGCTGCAAATCAAGTACAGTCAGTCACACAGCCTTAACCCATGTGCTCAGAGAGCACAACCGCTCTGCTGAGCCATTTGAACCCAATACGGCTTCATCCTCCAGTTGAGGTTGTTGGACTGTTGGAGTTCTCCACCCTCTCGCTCCCTCCCTCCCTCCCACTCCTCTCCCGCTCTGCTCCTCTTTCTCCGCAAGTCGTGGAAGTGTCAAAGGCCCAGCGGCCGATGCAAAGCAGCAGGATATTAATAAAAATATGAGTCCGATGGCATATGACAGCAGCAGCGGGGGTTGTTACAGGGGGGGGCCTGTGGTCTGGGGAGGGGTTCGGCAGAGGCTTTAAGTCAAACGGGCGCTTTAATGTGGTGTGACTTTGCCCACTTGAGAGGCCGGTGTGAAGTTACAAGATTGGACCCAACTGGGACGGGGCGATGACGGGTCCAACTGCTGAGACATCCGTGATGAGGGGGGGGGGACACGCCAGAATCCTCAGCACCGGCAGCCCCCTGACTCCTGGAGCACGAGCCCCGCCCACACACACTGAGGGATCGCACACTTCCTCGACTACATCGCAGATCATGGCTCCGAAAGTGAGGTCATCAGCCCTTAAGGGGGCGGTATGGAGGACCCATACTGTACCGTGACACCGATATAGTTCATTTATGGCGCGTTTCCACCGAGCAGTATGGTACGGTACGGGTCAGGTCTGTTAACCATGATTTGGCGAGCGTTTCCACCGCCAACAGTACCCTTACTGGCGTGGTATATGACGGAAAGTAGATTGACGTCATTCGATCGCGCGAAAACTGAAAGCTAACCGCAAACCACAATGGAGGACATACACGGTAAAGTAATGCTGCGCGGCGACATTGTTGCGACGGTGTTGTAGTTTAAAAATGGCGCCTCGTGTGTTGTCTTTACCCTTGCGGCACGCGCGCAAATGACGACACTCTTTCAACCAATCAACGTTCTGCAGTGAGTCTAGCTCCACCCTTTAGTACCAAACAACTGTGCCAGGTACCCCAACGGAAGGGTACCCAAAAAGTGGTACGGTCCGGATTTTTGGTACCATTCTCAACTTTTGGCAGTGGAGACACAAATAAAACCCGTACCGTACCGTGCCGCTCGGTGGAAACGCGCCATTACTGCCTAGAATGAAGCAGAGTTGAAGGGCCGTGATGTATTTAATTTGCTTAGTGTCATAATAAAAGACAGATGAAGGTAATTTCTCATCACAGAAGAACCACAGAAGCTGAATAAAGAGTAGGAATGAAAAGAAAGTGTATAAACGTGCACGTGTACATCAAAACTATTGAACAGATTTTTCTCCAATGAGGCTAAATACAAAAACACCATTTTTTTTGCACCATTCAAGTTTGTTTGACTTTTCTTCTGTATAAACTGCGTCAAAAAAAAGCCGAAATAAATAAAACTGCACTGGAAATAATTGAGATGATCAAAACGTAGCAGAAGAAACTTGATTGCGTATTTTTCTTTTTTAAAAGAAAGAAGAGACCATTTTGCAAGACCATTCACCAAACTGCACACGGCCCGGCAAGAAATGTAGAAGCCTGACCTCACCAAAACCCCGTCTGAAACACGAAGCCTTCAATAAGCAATAGCTTTATACGACGAAGCCCCCGCTGAACCAGACTACAACCGCACAACCCTCAACCATCCAACCATCCCACAGCGCTCTCCTCCTCATGTTTGTGTGTGTGACGCTCACACCGACATGACCCTGCACACAAATAGTCATCTACCTATGCAGCCAAACGCAGGGGAACACTGGCAACAAATGCCCAACCGTTTGCCTCTGGGCTCCTTCAGTTGAGGATGGGGAGGTGGAAGGTGCGAGGAGAAATAGGAGAAAGTAGAGCGAGAGCGGGGAGGAGGCACCCGGCCGTGTGGTTTGAGGAGCTTAAGCGGCCGAACATGCTCGCACATTAAGAGTCATCTGATCCGCAGCTAACGGGGGAGCGTCGAATGTAAAAGAAATGTCTCCCGCCATCTACCCCCCCCGTCCCGTCGAACCACTCCATTGCTCCTTTCATCCCGACACAACAGGGACAGAGGAAGTCATCTCCATGTGTGATTTATAAGGCCCTGTTTATTTGCTCCCCGCTCGATCCATCTTTCGCTGTTTTTCTGTCATTCACTTCTCTGTTCCCCCTCGTGAAAAGAGCATGGCGCGGCCCCAGGCCACACGAGCTCACTGACTAACACGGGGCGGTAGGAAAGTGGGCCACTTGGGAGTTTCTGTTCTCTTTCAATTCTTCGTCTGTCTTTTCTCCATTTGATATCGCTTTGTCTAATGCACGTCGTTCCAGTAAAACACACACTTGGAACAAATCTCAGCATGTGAACAAGTCCACTGCGTTTGGAGAAGCGGTTTGCACGAGAGGGAGAAGCAAAAACAAAGTCCGCTGACAATGCTTTGCTATGTTTCAGATTGCTATTTTGTTTTTGATGCTAAACAGGCGCTATTTTATTCCAGCTCCCATTTCCACTTCAGTACAGTTTAGCTCTGCTGTACACATTAGCAGCCGATTGCCCCCTTTTGATAAACCGAGCATTTTATCAGCCGCTAACACAAATATCTTCTTCCCAAACGGCTAAAATTACACAGTCATGATTCACAGATGAGCATGCTTCAGAAAACCACATTTTTAATAAAGTCAGACGTACTGTACATATTTTGTCCGAGAACCAGATGGAAAAACTACTGACTCGTGCAGCTACAAGACGCATCACTGTAATCTACCCTTAAGACCACATGGATTTCAACAGCAGCATAAATTACGGTGCCGGAGCGCCTTAAAATCCACTGCGGAGCTGGACGCGTACGGCGAGTTTCGCATTGAAATATTTGCACGCGGCATGCGGTCGGCAGGAATATGAGGCTCTGCGTGTGATTGAAAAAAGGAGAGAAAATCTATTTCTGTGTTTCGTTCGTTTGAATGACACTTAAAAGCGCGAGAGCGCGTGCATTTCTGACACGATGTCTGAGCAGCGGGGAGGGGGGGGGGCGCGAATGCCTTTGACCGCCACGCCAGTACAGGTGCATGTGTACGTTTCAAGTGTTTCACTCGGTAATTGGAAAGCACAGCGGCGCTGATGTCGGACGCAGCATCGACGTGGGTGGGCTAACGCACATGTGGCAGCGTAGGGTGAGGAAGCGGTAGGCCACATCATTTTACTGCAGAGACGTCTCTATAGGGCCTCGCCTGTCTCGAGGGAGCTGTGAAGCCCTTACACCAAATTCTTCAGTCCCGCCCCTCCTCCCGACCGTTTTCTCCGTGTCACTTGTTATTAGCATCTCGCCCATCAATGACATTCTTTCCTACCGGGCTCCTTCCATTAAAACTTGCCTCTGGTAGCAGTGTTCAGCTATAATCCAATGTGGAGGGTCAAACTAGCTCATGTGGAGCTGCTTCTCATTTCCCTTTTCTTCACTCGCTACGCTTCATTGACAGAGGTCATTATAGGGTAGAAAAGAGGAAAAATACTAACTGACTGTTGGATTGCTGTACAGAGAATAAGAAATTGGAGAACAATGGTGTTATTCAGTGTGAAATTCTGAAAGACATACAAAGAGATGAAAGGAAGATGGGGGAGGTTTTGTTCTTTTTTTCTGTGTTTTGCGCTGCAGCAAAACCAAGGAAAATACAGCACAACCAGCTTAACTGCTACGATGGTCTACGGGTATGGAACTATGGGAGAGGTTGAAGTACCTGACAGTGAAAGACGTATTCTGGTGTGGCCTTCTTAAATTTGATGTTCCATACAAGCGCAACACCATCCGGTTCATGAGGAGCATCTTCATTATTGTTATAGGAGGCAACCAGCAACTCGGGATACTGAGAGGAGAAAAAAAAAAAAACTTTTATTACCAAGATTTTGAATTTGGGAATACGCCGTGGCGAAATAGAAGAAAATGTTCAGTGGCAGTTGAAAGTGAGACACACCAGGATGCCAGCCTCACCTGAGTGGACCAGTCGAGACATGTGATCACGCGATGTTTCGACCAGTGTTCATCGTAGAAGAGACGACTGAAGGACAGACTGGAGCCGCTCCCCGAGTCTCTGAAAAAGCACCAGACGTTTAAAAGAAAGTCCTTCTGTCTGCAGGGCTCATTTGTCATCACTGTTGTTTGTAATTCTCCGGATCTTCACAAAGTATGCCACCAAAACCTAATGCATTGCGGTTAAGGCAGACACTATTTTGGACTATTTGCTGAATCAATGAATCATTATTTGCTGAATCACAGAGTAGCATTACACCTGTAGCTGATTGCTAAAAGTGGAATTTATGCATGACAAAATGACTGAAAATACATAACTTCAGTGAGATGAAGTCAAATGTAGTTCAAAGTAAAGCATGGTAACAAAAGTAGACAAACAAATCGGTGATGTGTTTTTCTCCATGACGCACGCTAGGCAGACTCTTACTTAAGCGCTTATTGCAACAGATGCTGTAGACTAATCAGTTTAGTCAAAGCTATGCGAGAATTAATAGCAGCATAAACGATGTGATGAAATGTTGGTTATGTTGTTACGGTTTCAGGAATAGCATGTGCGTGGAAACAAAGAGGAGGACGGATGTCAAGCACTGGGTCACGGTCTATTTTAGACATAATCTCTATTTGACCACAGGCTTGATGCTTCTCTGTGGCTGCAGTGGTCCAAGATGAAGTGAGCTGCATTCTTCTGTAATAGCAGAGCAGTACTCTTATAACTTCAACCAACACTTTCACTGACCTCCATTTGGAGGCAACTCTTCGGACGGCAAAACAATGCTCTTGTGTCACTTCACAGGAGTTTTTACCCCCCCACCCCCCTCTCCTCCCTCCAGAGAGTGTGACATCAGCAGGAAGACATGCATGTTGAAGAACAAAGGCCCCTGCATGGACACACTGGGCAGGAGTCTATGCACATTTTGCAGTTGGAGACGTGCAAGTAAACACTCACATGTGCTCTTATATCAAAACACAGGCTCACTCCTCCTCCTGCCCCTGTCTCGCCTCCTCTCTGCTCACCCCTCTTTGTCCTCCGGGTCCCGGCCGCTGTAGTCAAAGAAAATGTCTCGGTCCTCGGCCAGAGCTCTCTCCATCACCCGGATGCTGCAGTCGAAGAAGCTCTGAAACTCAGAAGAGTGCAGGATCTGCTGCCTCTCCTCCTCTGTCAGTTCGCGCAGGACTGGAAATGGGCCTGAAGAAAGGAACATGGCACGGACACAAAGTCTTCAATCGTTCGACAAACCGTTGTTTGTTCTGTGTTAAATGTCAGTGAACAACACCAGTCGTACTTACGTGATCTACAAACTCAGACCAATAGTCCCAGAGATATTTCATGTGTAATAGTTACTTGACAAAGAAAGGCAGTAAATACTTCTAACTTGGAAGCCGCACGCTGGGAATGTTTTGGATTTTTGCTTAGAAAAATAGACCAAAAGTATATGATTAATAGATTATTATTGGTTTCTCATAATGAATAACAGCACAAATATAAATGGACTCATGTTGTTACTGTTCATTGTAGGGTATTGGGCCTTATCCATTTTCCTTTATTTATATTAAAAGTATATTCCACAATCTCTTTTTTCTTTTTCTCTTTCAGGCTAAGCCCTCGTTTTATTTACCCCTATTAACAAACAAACAATAATGCTTGTGCGTATGGCATTTCAAATCAATAAAATACAAGTCATTATACTTTGATGGGACATGCAAAAAACTGTTATGTCGTTGCTCTCTCTGTCCAACAGCCTTAAACTCTTTACTTACTCCATTATCAGACATTGGGACGTTTGTGTCTCTGCTTCGTCTGGCATTTCTCTGTACCTTCATAACTGGCACCGGTGCACTGATCATCTCATTCTCATTTTATTTCTATTATATTGTATTTTTTATTTCTTATGTTTGACCTCCCTCCTGTCTGTCCCTGAGCTCCTCATACGTTGTACTTTTATCACTGACAAAAGTACAGATGCCTCTCTGCATCTTTCTGTGCTGTACGCAGCTATTTTCATTGCCTGCAGAAAGAACGAGCACATGACGTGTTTCCAATGTCGGATTAACATTCATTTTATCTCTATCAAAACCAGAATCCCGTCCGGGACATAATAAACTACAAACAGCTCCTAATGCATATTTTCTAATAAAACCCTACTGCAAGAACTTCATAAACAAGAGAGAAAACAAAGCCCTCTGAGCAGGACGCCTCCCTTTGAACGTAATGGCGGCGCAGCACGGAGTCCGGTTTTTGAAGTCACTGTCCCCAAGCGCGCACGCAATTTTACACACGCACGCCGGCACGCACAGACACACATACGTCGACCTTTACCCTGCCTCTTGACTTTGATCCCCTCTATCCCTTTGTATTTCTTACGAGTTGTCAGAAAAGACCCAGTGAATCGAGTGGCAGAGATCAAAGGCCAGACCTTCTAATAGGCCGGGATGAAGAGGGATGACTGTGTTTATGAGTGCGTGTGCGTGCGCATACGTGTGTCTGCGTGCGTGTTTGAGTTACGGCGTGTTTGCGCTTGTGTGTGTGTTTGAATGCGAGCATGTCCGTTAATCTGTGTCTCCATCACATGTTGTATTTCACCCGCCCGGCCCGATCCATATTTGACCCCACGGACCGTCCGCACACGCATCCACAGACACACTTCTCCATTCCGCTCCACTTTGAAGTGTGGTCGAAGGGTCACATGACAGGTTTTTAATCAGCGCTGACCCCCACATGCCATGGAGCTGATATGCTGCTGCACCCGTCTTAACCCCCACCGACTGGCCGAGGGTGTCACACACACAAGTGGCCGTGTTTCGTGACAGTTTGACCAACAACATGTGAGAAGTCGCGGGGAGAAAGCGACCGGAGGATGAAGAATGGAAAGTGTTGTGTTTGCGGTAGTCGGGAGTCATTCATCAATCCTTTGTACCTTCTGCATTTTCCCTGTTGTCCTCTTCATCCTGCTGTTCAGACTCGGGGCCTGGCTTCACCTCCGTCATCTCTTCATCCTCCTCTTCTTCCTCCACTGTGATAGTTAAAAAAAGAAAAAAAAAAAGAAAGAGAGGAAGCGCTCATGTTAATCAACAGCTGTTCCAATTTTCTTCAACCTCCCGCTGTGTACTCTGCCCGCCCCCCTTCTTAGCAAAATAATCATTGCCAGACACGCACCGGTACACCTGACTAACGAACATCGGGTCCAAACGGGTTTGATTTACAGACGCACAGGTTTTTTATACAAGACTGCCAATTTAAGCCCTTAAAATATACTCTTCTACTCTGGACTGCAGTCGCAACAGTTAAGAAGTTAAGAGTTTCTATAAGTGTTGCTTGTGGATATTAAGTACACATGATCTCGGTGGTGAAACAAATTCAACAGGAAACCAGCCTGTGACCAAATCTGTGTTGTAGCTGTAGCATGTGTCCACGTGGTCCGCATGTGTGGACAAAACACACACACACACACACACACAGCAGGAAATGTCCGAGTTGTGTGAGCCCTTTTCTTTTGATTTCACCTTTGACCCCGAGCAAGAAGCTCCAGAGATGTGTGTGTCTAAAAGGGGATTCCCGCTGCATTCTTCCAATCAGGCTCTGCAATTACGCCTTCCCTTTTCAGAATATATATCGTGAGTGTGAGCAGTGTGTCTGTGTGTTTGGAATGAGGTGGGGTTCAAGTATGAAGGGTTACTGTCAACATAGGCACCTGCTTGTCAGCTACTGCCCCCCCCCCCCGCCCAACAAGCCCCACACCCCTCGGGGCATGTGTTAGTAACCCTTGCCAACCTCTCCTCCCCTTTGCTGCCGCGCCGTCCCTCCGAAACAGATGCTGGGAGTCGGGGGGCCTCTCAGAAGCCCTCTTAACACCGTGACCGGACACCTGTGGTCTGACAACACACATGCCACACACACACACACACACACACACCCGGGGCCCTCGCCTGCAGTGCCAGGGGTGGCGAGGGGTTAACTGGCGCAGGGTCAGGCTGACAACAGTCGCTCAGTCCAGCGGGAGGAAGTGACTACATCACACCCTCGGACGTGTCGCGTCTCTGTCTCTCTCTCTCACACACACACACACACACAGGTCGGGTGTGTTTAACTCAGCTGGAGTATGGCCCGGGGGCACCGTTAAAACCACTTGCTCGAGAGCCGCTCTTGCACCGGATGAACTGTCCAATTCATCACTTGAACTCGCCAGAGCTCTTGATGAACTCACTGCTGCCGCTTTAAAAAGACACAAATGTGATTTTGATTGGTGGAGCGATTTAGCAAAATGATTATCACAATACAATAGTTTCTGGCATTTGTTGTGGATTATTTAAGGGTTCCCAGTAAATCCTTCTCTTTGTCTGCCTTTGTTTTCCCTTTTTTTTTTCACGGCTAAGTCAAATCCTTTGATTTATGACTGTACTTTCTATACTGTGTGTACATAATAAATAACTAAGCTAAATCTAACACAGGGCGGTGAGGCTGAGTCCAAGTCGGTGGTTACCAGTCAGCTGTAGAGATCCAAACACCAGTGACCCACCAGTATGGAGGGCAGGCCGGAGAGGACCAGACCGGCAGACGGCCAGACTAGCTCTCCATGTCGGAGAACCCTTTTGTCCCTCCCGCCATGCTTCAGTTTGTTAAGCTCAATTTCTCTCGGATGTATTTTTTTCTTTCCGTCATCTCTCGGTCTCATCGCTCGGTCTCATCCTCCACAAACTGCTGTGATTACTCAGCGAAGGCTTCAGCATGTGACACAGAAACCCGAGTCCTGCTAACCAGCGTTGTGAAGATACGCGGCAAAACTTCCATTCCTCCTTTTTTCTTGACCTTACGTGACCGGTCCGGTCGGAATGTGTGGTGATCGGGATGGGAGGAGCGTGAGCAGAGGAGAGAGAGACCACATTGAGGAGCCGTCAAACTGTCAACCCCCCCCCCCCGCCTCCCCCCCTCGGGACCACAGGACGCTGGAGCGAGGCAGCGTGATTCATGGCCTATGGGTTACCTCACCGAGGGGGGAGACAGATACTGCTGATGTCGTTGCCAGCGGCCATGCATCAAGTTGTTCTGTCAAGAGAACCGCAACAGAAATATCCCCATTCACTTCCTTTAAATGGAAATTTTTCAGAGATACATTTCCATGTACGCAAGTTAAGCAAAAAGCTATATCGCTGTAAACGACGCTGGAAAGTCGGGACCCCTGGGTTGAAAACAATGATACAAAACGATTTTTTTAAAAAGGGACACACGGGGGCACAACACGGTTCCCTGCAGAGTTGCAAGAGAAGCAGGCAGGATAAATCCAAAAGAGACAATCTTCCGCAGTTTGAGTTTGCCCGCGTGCTACCCTGTAAGTACCTGCACTCTCCTTGCTCGTCACTGGGTTGCGTTTTTCTTTCCACCTGCCGCTTAATGCCGCTCCTCGCTGCAGGACGACAGGTTAACTGGTTTCCTCCCCCTCGCCGCAGACAGGGGTCCACCTTGATGAAACTCCGCTTGGGGGCCCTCGTTTTGCCCGGCTACACACACACACACACACACACACGCGGGGTAATGATATCCTCGGCCCCCAGTGACGGCCGCGTCTGGCTGCTTCAATCTTCCCCCGGCTGCATACTCATGCTGGCCCGTGCCCAGTCAATTCGGCACAAGCCAGCAGGTATGTAGACACACAGATGCCCGGTGTGCAGGTACTGACACAAGCACACACGCACACGAATAGGTAAAAGTGAGTGCGGGTACACATTCAGACGCGTGTGCAAGTGCGTGAATTTGTGAAATTGTTTGGAAGCTGAGAAATGTTTATTCGCATCACAAGAGAGGATGGAAGCAACGGCACAGCCTTTCGTGCGCTCTGCATAAGTGCATGCGTATACTGTCAGTGAGGTAAACAGTATACAAAAACTGCAGTAATATAGTGTAACTACACTGTTCATGCATGCTTTTTGCATTGCGTTGCGAATACACAGCAGCAACATGTGCTCGTAAATTACGCTGGTTTTTCGTCCAAAGCGAAACCCTCTCTGACTGACAGGAGGGAGTCAACTGGCCATTACAAGCAGCTACTGCATTGAGCCTGATCCGCACTCTGTTGTTATGTCTTCTACGCACAATGCTTTTTCGGGATTTTATAAAGTAACAGAAGAGGGGAACAGTTCAGGTAAGCTAATGGTCTTAATGCTGGCTGACACGCCGCTGAGCGCTTCATTAGCGTAAACATCTTGTATTATTTCACAGCAGGCCGCTACTATCGAGCGCGTGGTGAGAGGTTTTCAAGACACTGACAGCGCGTAAACGATGCACACGCGTCGGCCCTCCGCTCCGCTCCGGCTGCCACACGGAGCACAATGGCCTGGTGTGTCACGGCAATAACGTGTTAGCGTGTGCTCCGTTTGGTGAGGATCAAAGTCGTCGCTAACCTTCTTTTCTGAACCCGATCCACAATAAGTGGTAGTGTTTTGAAATCAGTTAGCGCATGCTAGGAACAATTGGAGTAGTTATCTAGGAGCTGTGTGTGTGTGTGTGTGTGTGTGTGTGTGTGTGCAGAAGGGAGGACGGGACCAGGCTCTGCATTAGGAGGCTGATCATAGCAGCACGGAGGCGGCTGCTGAACTGAGTCACGCACAATCCAAGTTGACAGAACCTCATTTTTAGGAATCTCCGTGGTATTAATCATAAAGAGAGATATGATAGAGAAGAGGGACCCGAATAGGAGATCCAGGAGGACTGTTGGGGACTCACACACTGGGAATAACCCTACAACCATAACACACACATTTATATTGACACACACACACACACACACAGATGACAGGGGTGCTGGGAGGTTGGCTGTTGAGCAGACCACAACAAGCACTACGCAGAGGAGTAGGAGGCTGAGATGACTTGAAAGGCTGCTCTAATGTGGCGCACGCGCACACACACACACACACACACACACACAGAACTTCACCTCTTCAGATATTACAAATGACCTGAGGCATCCGGGGAATTTTCTCACTTTAATTCGTTAATTCTCCAGTAATTTAATCCTAGTTATCCAAGTACCATAAAAACAATCGATTCAACCACAATGATTTCAGGCAACATGAAATAATGATACAGGTGGTAAAAACAATGAGGCATATCCAAGATAAATGAAATGCGTTTGACAGGCCTGTGGTGACAGACAGGACTTATAAATGAAGCGACTTCATTTACGTTCACGCTACTACAGCGTATTGTAAACGGAAACCATCCGCACATTTTGGAGAGCCTGCATTGCCTCCCCATTTTTTATGTCATTAGATTTTTCAGCTACATTGAACAAATGAATATAGACTCAGAGGATCTTAAATTGTTTGAAGAGAGAAGAAGGTAAAATGCATTAAAATGTCCACTAAATCGGCATCTCTTAATTTTATTCAGTTTTTTTGCCTTTCCGTGTTTTTAATCATGTCATGTTCATCAAGTCATGATTACCGCAGTAGGGGTAAATGTATTCGCCCTATACATACATACACGCACGCACGCACGCACGCAGCCAGACCTGATGTGAAACTGGTGAGGCTAAAAACTGCAGGATGATTTAGATTAATTTATCTCTTCACCGCACTTCCTCAGATGATCGCATATTGCACATTGTGCGCGTGTGTATGTGTACACACCCAAGTGTACAGCGTATGCACACAAGCACTCACATAATGAGCATTCGTTAATGCAGCCCATTGAGGCCTTCAGGAGTCTGAGGCCGACCCCGCTGTGTGCTGTGGGTACAGTCGGATTAGATTTTCCCCCCATTTCCGTCTCTCTTTCAGCCCCCCCCCCCCTCACCTCACCTCCCCCTTCTCGGTCTCAACCCCACTCTCTTTCTAGCAGTGCCACCCGGGCTTGGCCCCCGACCCAGACCCACATCTTTAAGACGAGCCACCGTGCCACGCCGCGCCATGCTCGGGGCCCGGCCGCAAGACCCTGATTAAAACCCATGACTTCAAACTTTCCAAACCGTCAGGAGAGAGAGAGGGAGACCAGCAGAGAGGGTAAAAAAACAACAAAAAA